TTAGGGTACAAACTCTGGTCTCAAGTTTTAAGTTGAATCTTAAAGAAAAAGTACAAATTATCTTGAATTAAGTGAGTTATGAAGGATATATCACAGCCACTCAAGTCCCACCAATCTGTGGGACTGTTTTATTTTTTTCTCTTATTGTATGAACAAATAATTTTAAGTCAGTTAAACCACCTTTGAATCAGTATTTTATGTCAGCCTGTTTGTTTGTCTAGTTAAAAGTTTGATAATGTAAGATTTGTGGATGTTCAAAGACCTCTCTGACAGGTCAGGAGCTGTTGCAACCCACTCCCTATACATGATCAATTTCATGGCTCATAAAAAGTGGAAACTCTAAAATGAAATCTGGTCTTTAAGAATCAGGTCATAAGTTTAGGGAAAAGAAACAGAAACTACTGGAGCGAGGTAACACTTCCTTTTTAAAGATTAACTTTCCCATTTTTGTCTCATTTTACACAGAAAGCCGAAGAGCGACAACAACTGTATCCCCTCTCTGATCCCAGATGACTGTCTAACATGAGTCTGGTTCTGCTTGAGGGTTCTACCTGCTAACAGGAAGTTTCTCTCACTTCTGTAACTTGCTTAATTCTTCAGAATGTTTCACTCATGGCGGTTGAAGATGAGATAAGAAAGTCTTTTCTTATCAGATGAGACTCAATCTTGATGTTGGACCTGTACGGTTTAGTTAGACGTGCTTTTTTTAGAATTAACTGAAGATAACATTGTTGTGAATCGACACTTTATAAATAAATGAACCCACAATGAATGAGATCATAGAGACAATTATGTATTGTTTGGATTTTTATTGTAAATGAACGCTGTAAACTGGACTGGTCCAGGACTCCATAAAGAGGGTCAAACATAAGGTGACCATACGTCCTCTTTTACCAGGACATGTCCTCTTTTGGGGGGCTGTCCGGCCTTGTCTGGGGTAGTTTATAAAATCCTTCAAATGTCGAGAGTTTTGTATGGAAGTTTTGAGTTTGTGTCGCGTGGACTGACTGAGTTAGAAGCGTGTAAAAAACCCTCGACCTGACTCGAAAAACTCTCAAAATTTACTTTGCGCCACTCCACGACTCTGCCCCACATAGTCGTGTCCTCCTTTTGGGGATTCAGAATATGGTCACCCTAGTCAAACAGGACTGTCATAGTACTTCCAGGAAGCAGTTTGCAGTATGCATGGTAATCATGCCTAAAAAGGGGGTTTCCTTTCACAAATGCATCAGATCATGTGATATTTTCATACCCGACTCTTAGAAATGTGGTATAAAACAAGTCCAGAGAGTCCTCACATCCTCTCCTTTCTGCTGGTCACTCATACAGATCAGGCGCCAAACTCCACTCTTTGTGATAGAAAAGCTTGTTTCAGAGACCAGAGGGATTCAGGCATGAGTACACGAGGTCAGACAGACACAGACGAGTTACCATGGCGTCTAATCCTCATGAAACCTCAGAGAGATCAACAGAAATTGCTCCGTGCGCTCTCCCTTCACTCCACGCTGCAACTGCAGCACCTTCCCGACCCCGAGCATGCTAGGATGTCAGACGTTTAATTCTCCCGGGGAGCGACTTCACCGTGAGTTATCAGGATTCATCTACTTCACAGTCTTGATCTCCATTTGCAAACACAGTGCAGTTCCTCATACTGCGACAACGCCGTAACTGTTTCACATTGTTTTTTTAAAAGGCCTCTTCCTGTTGATAAGATATTTTTGTTGACTAAAATAGATGAAACCTGAAGTTGATTCACCTGACACACACACAAGTCTGAGCTTGATTTGATCTAAGATTAGTCGGTCTAATCAGATGTGCAACCACACTGTCTAGACGAGCAAATGCACCAAACATGCATGAAAAAAAAACCCGTATGTGCTGTAAATATAAAATACAATGTACAGAACGTACAGTACGAAGCAGGCAGTAATTCATACTTAAGCCAGCTTGGATATGAGCACACTGCTTGTTTATGATCTGATAACCATCGTATGTTTCTTAGGTTTGACCCTAAGTCATACACACAGTACAAATCAAACAAAAGCGAAAGCTCTTACATCTTTCAGTTTATTATTGCTGCTGTAAGCATTCATATCTCACCGGGCACACTTCCTGTCAATCAGCCGCTTCTAGTCTGATGAAATATTACATGAATTTCCATTATTTTGTAACGCTTATGTCCCAATAGCTCAGCTGAAAACGTCTCAAGAATGGTGATAGAAGTCAAACCAAAGGAGGATATTGCTGACAATCGGGGGAAATTCACAGTTATACAACTCCTTCTGACAAATCGTTGAAAGAACAAAAGGAAAGTGGTCGTTTAAGAGCTTACCTCGTTGAATGTTGATTTATAGAAGTTCTTACACTTACATGGAAAGTCCATCCATCCATCTTCTACCGCTTAGCCAGAGTCGGGTCGCAGGGGCAGCAGGGAAGCCCAGACTTTCCTCTCCCTGGACACTTTGTCTAGGTCAGGGGACACTGAGGCATTCCCAGGCCAGCTGAGACACATAGACTCTCAAGCGTGTCCTAGGTCTTCCTCTGTGGTCTCCTACCTTTGGGACTAGATGCCCAAGCCACCTCATCTGAGTCTCAACGCGGAGGAGCAGCGGCTCTACTCCGAATCCCTCCTGGATGTCTAAGCTTCTCACCATATCTCAAAGAGAGAGTCCAGCCATCCTGGAAGGAAAAGGAAACTCATATCAGCCTCTTGTACCCGGGATCTTGTTCTTTTGGTCACTACCACAGCTCATAACCAAGGGTAAGGGGTAGGAACGTAGATCGACGGAATATTGAGGGCTTTGCCTTTTGGCTCTGCTTCCTCTTCACCATGACGGACCTGCACCAATCCTTCTGTCGATCTCCTACTCCATATATTTCCTCACTCATGAACAAGACAGTGAAATACTTGAACTTCTCCACTTGGGGCAGGATCTCATCCCTGACCCGGAGAGGACTCTCCACCTTTTTCTTTTGGAGTCTGTTTTCTTTTGGAGATGCTGATTCTTATCCCAGCCACGTCACACTCCATTGCGAACCGATCCAATGAGAGCTAAAAGTCACGGCCTGATGAAACCAACAGGCCACATCATGTATACTGTGAACATAAATGTAAACCTAGACTGGCGAAAGTTTCAAAACATTCAAGGACATCATATCATAAGTGAAAGTCTCCAGAGAAAATCTGAGTCAAGCCCCTTCCAAAACCTTGGACTTGAACCTGGACGGACTGAGTGGGATCTTTTAGATGTGTAGAAAACACAGTTTATTTATCCTCCTTTTCCCAGTTGACCCTTATAGTCTTTTGTACGGACATAGGAATGGGTCCCCTTCCTTGGAGACCCCTGTCTTGCTCTGCCATGTTTTTACGGTGGCAAACAATGGGCAAACTTAGTGAGTGTCTGCACCAGCAGGACGACAGCTAAGGTATATCAGCCTGAAACGATCAGTTCATGACATCGAGGGGAAGGTATTTCTTTGAGCAGCACAGGTACGCTCTGTACAACCCGTATTTAGTTTTCCCGCTAGGATTGAATGTAATGTTACATAATCAGAGTAATCATGAGACAAAGGGATGTGGGCGTGGCGATGTATAAAAAAAATACATGATCGGTAAATTGGGTTAAAAATAGCTCCCAGCACACCTTGTTCAAAGTTTCAGTAAGAATTTGTCCTTCTCTCATCTAATACTTCTTTGTTTAGTCTTTGTTTAGTTGCCGAACAACAGACGATTTTTGGTACGACTGGTATGACTCGTGGTTTTGATTTATCTTCCAGCTGTCACCATAAAACACAATCTGACATCCACCCTTAAACTAGATCTGCAACAGACTGAAACAAAACTTATGAGTGCGGTTTGTGTATTTCTTTTGATGAAACTGAAACAAACCAAAAATGAAATAAAGAGAAAAATTATGATTGATTGGATTGGTATCAATAAGCGATGGAAAGTCCTACGATCTGTTGAGATAACAGATCAGTGATACTTCAGAAGATAAAGTGAATAAATTAGTCCTCTGTTGTTTTTGTGTTTCCTCTTCTCATTCCTCATGAAAATAGGGGAGTCGGGGAGGAGTGCAGCTTTACTCTCATGGCCTCTCACTCTAGATCTGCCTTCAATGTCTTCTTCATCATATCTTCATCGTACTCCTCTCTCTGTTTATTTTCATTTTTTCTCCAATGGTAATAAGAGCGGGGGAGGTAGGGCGTACAGCCTCACCCTCAGGGGTGATCTGGGTCAAATAGGCTTTTCATCCTGTTATTTCTTATCATGTCTTCTTCCTGACATATCTCTACATACTGCCTTTTTTGATTTTCTTCTTTCATTCCTCATTTTCTTCAGAAAGTTGGGGGAGGTAGGGCGTACAGTGTAACACTCAGGGGTGAATCTTGGCCAAACAGGCTTCTCATTCTGGTTTTTATTATCTTCTTCCTGACATACCCCTACATACGCAATTGTTTTATTATTTTTTCTTTTATTCCTCATTTTAGTCAGAAAGTTGGGGAAGGTAGGGCGTACAGTCTAACCTGGTCAATTCAAGCTTTCGCCAAACAAGCCTCCAACCTTTGCTTTGCCTTCCTTGTCTTATTCATCACCTCTCTTTTCATACTTTTCCTTCTGTTTTCGTTCATATCCTCTCTCAACTCATCCTTTACCAAAATAAAGAGGGTAGAGCGAACAGTAAAGCCCAAACAGACTTCTTCACCATGGCTCTGCCTAACATGTCATGATCATCTTTTCTCTCCACCGTGTATAGGGTTATGGAGTCCATTGCGGATCATATTGTGGGTCTGGTAATACTGGTCTCTCGTAGGAACCATTATTTGTTATAAAGCTGTATGGATCTTGATATTAAGAGAGTCTGCTTGTGTAGGCCATGGAAGCTGGCATTAAGGAGTTTGGCACTGGGACGCCATAACTCAAAAAGCCTCTCCACGATGGGATGTTTTTTTTTTTTTTTTTAATTTTATAAGTACTTTTGTTCTCTTAAAAAATGATGGTTGTATATCTTTTGAGCTTCTTTTTGAAGCGTCAAGCCACAAATTTACTGATCTATAATCTACCTCCAAGGATACGAGTAATTAAATAGAAAAATTCAACCATCTTTCATGCGTTTTAAGTGTTTGTTCTCTGTAAACTGTGGTGATTAAAATCATAATTTATAGAGTACTGGTTGTCACAAATATCTGAGATTTTTTTTTTCTGTATCAAACAATGTAATAAAACACTTAAGTGTGTTTTATGCCTACTGAACGATGACTTTTAAAATATATAGCTGAGTTCACCTGACGGTCATATGACCGACCAAAAAAAACAAGTTTAACAAACACACTGTTCAGTCAAGTGATACGTGTTCTCAGTCATCAACTATTTTCCACTGCCATGCCAACCGGTCATCAACAGGAAACCAGCCCACAGTGTGATGACAGGATGACTCACTCATTCATCTTCACTTCAAGAGGCTGCCACTTGAGCAGAGGTATTTTGGCAGACGTGAAAAGGTTTGGTTTAGGAGTCATGAATGAGTGTCACTGGTGGCTGTCAGAGTGGAAGTGGCCTATTTTCGGTGGTGTTGAAATACTGATTCAGGATCCTTTTTTTTCATTTTTAATTAGGTAAGAAGTTTTGTGTCCTCTGCATAGAAAATACCAAGAACCTATCGAATAAGTTATGGCATATTAGAAACAACCAAGAGCATTTAAAGAAGACAGTCATTGCATCATGGTTAGTCTTTAAGTCATGAAGTTTACCATAGACGATGTCCTGCCACAAAAGGCAATCAGTTCTCTCACATCTACCACCAATTTTGTCAACATTAGCATCGCCAAACATATATTTTATTTATCTTTTTTTTTTTTTTATCTTGTCCTGGTTCTATTCAAATGGAAATACAGTAAAACAGTAATGTGATGCATCATTTTAGGCACATTGATTTACAAAATAATTAAAAATAGAAAGGAAAGGATGAGTTTTATATTTTTCTATGTCAATGAAACTTAAAGTAAACAAGCAAGCAAGACTGATGATTTGTAAAGAGTGATTTTTTAATGCTTGACAACAATGTGAGGGGATAGGTGTCAAACTATTTTTTTAGTATCTGTATAAAATATTCATAATAAGTGAAAATTTGATTGTCAAAAGTCAAGAGAAAAAGATTTTTGTCTGAAGAAATTATATATGCAGATGACAAGGTGAGCTAAGACTGCTCTGTCCACAGGGGGGCGCCAGAGTTGACACAAACTGAAAGTTTCTCAGAGGAGCTTTAATTCCAACATCTTCACACAACTTAAACCACCAAAGATGTTTCTGCTGCTTTTAAGAGATCTAAAACTGTTCACACACGGTGCCTGAGGAGTCTATTTCTTTTTACAAACAGATGAAAATCTGATCTAAAACTACAAATAGCCATACGAGAGAGGCTTATCTATTCAGACAAAGGATTAATCTGACTGTATTTCATATAAATCTGATAAAAATGTTCATATTTGTGTAAAGAAAGACTTATTTTAGCAACAACAAACAGACAAAACTAGATTATAAAGCTCTTTTTTAAATAGTAGAAACTAATTTTACTGAACATCTATTCTTCAATCAGGGTCTAATTTCAAGAAAGCTACAAGCTTAACTTCATGTATTCAAATGACATTGCCAACACTCTCGTCCAGACACAGATAGGACCTGTTACATAAGGTGACAAGTTACAAAACTGAAAAATTCGACCAGCCTCAGAGAGAAAATGACGAGCTCGTTGGAGCCGTTTGAATCAGAATAAACATCCGTTTTTTTAGGCAGTTTCAACATCATCCATCTCTGCAGATAGGGATCGTTTAAGATAAGCTGGTGGACCGTTTGACTTCCCTTTTCTACGATTTCTGTTGCATTTCATTAAAAAAAAAAAAAAAAACATAGATCGAGCATTTCATCAGAGAGGTGACTGTTTCTTGAAAAAGGTTCAGCTAAAGTCATTCACAAATACACCAAAGTAAAGATGACCGTTGGTTTTAAGTGTAAGATACTAAAATCCAAAACAAAAAGACAAAGTCACAGTTATTTCAGATTATCGAAACACCTCCCTGTCAACACATAACTCCAACATAACTCCACTGAGGCTGAGAAAAATACCTGAGATAATATGTTTGACAGATTTCTTGGAAATGAAAATTTTATACAGAGTCAAAAATTAACCTCATAATACTGTGTGCATGGAAACTTGGAGATTTAGCATCTGAAACTGTGTGTAATCTTATAAAAAATAATCATAATTGCTTTCAGCAAAATGAGGGTCAGTGCAATTAGAATATTACTGAGAATTTGTGGATTATAACCATCAAATTTTTCCAGATGAAACTAGAATGAAAGCAACTCTCCTTCCACTGACCCCAGAAGACATTAAAAAACTTTTAAAAGACTTAAAAGACAACCTGACAGTCTCTCTAGAATAAAGAAGATTCGTCAGAAGGTAACAGTGTTTTTAGTTACAGAATTTTGTACAGACTGGGGGGTCACTAACCCCCAAAACTACAACTGGACTTACAGTATGACCCTATTCTGGACAGTTGTTAGCATTTCCAAGACCACTATAATGTCTCTGTTATTCCGTCTTCACTCAGTGGTGGTAATAATGGGACAACAAGTCAAAGCAGCATTCTTGCGGTCTCCAAAACTGCACCCTTTTTCCACTGAACCTCCTTCATTGGCTGCAGGCAAAGTTCACACCATCAAAGAGCCTGAATTACGTAAGTTGCCAGTAAATCTAATCAAATCAAATCAAACAAAGGCAAAAATAAATGCAGCACAACGTGAACATTCTCTGCGGCCCTCAGGTCCTCCAGCAGGTTATTCCACAGACGGGGGCCATAGTGTTGGAAAGATGGCTCACCGCAAGTTATTGTTCTCACTTTTGGTTCTATTTAAAGGCCAGTGCCAAAGGATCTCAGGGTTCACGGGGGTTCATATTGTAAAAGCAGTTCTGAAAGATAAGAAGGTCCAAGATCCCTAAGACATTTAAAAACCATTAAAAGGACCTTAAAATCGATCCTAAAGCATCTTACACCAAATTACAAACATTGCAGGACTTCAATAAAACTCTCCTGGTTTCCTTCTAATCTCAAAAAAATTATGTATGATTTTGGTTTAAGTCTGCCCAGCTCCAAAAGCTCGTTCACAAAAGTGTCTGACTGAGTTTAAGGGGTTTGTGATGTTTCTACTGAAGATGAACTTTCAGGACCATCTCTAAGTTAGGATGCACAGAACAGAACAACGCACGAGTTTACATCGATTTTAGTCTAACAAGTCGACAGCGGTCTTTGATCTTTGGGGAAATATTACAACTCTTAGCCGAACAGATTTAATATAAAAGATATTAATACTGCAGTTACTCACTTATTCCTGTTTAAACTATTTGTTTTCACTCCCCATTGGAGAGAAATGTTTCTCTTTAGCTGCTAAAAGTAAGTTGCACAGATCGTTTTTTGCACTTTATGCTTTTTATGCAGATGATGAAGCTTTGGCATCAATGCATGAACATTTTTAAACCATATATCAGTTTATAGACTAACTTCATCCATAAAATCATTCACAACTTCAGAGTCTGTGTGAATGACTGCGTCTTCCTTGACCTAGAAGCTGCAGACGAACTTTGCGTTCTGGCCTCCTTTTCTTGTGTTCTTTTAGGAAAATTGGCACAGAGAGTCACGTACTTTTGATCATGATAACACAAAATTTTACAGTCTTTAATTGAATACCCTGGCTCAATATTTTGTGTGCCTCTTTCGAAACCTGTCCAGTGTCCCAAAACCGGAGTAACTTCTGCTCACTGTGTTGAATTCTTGAAAAAATTATGCAAAGGTAAAGGAGCACTTCCCTTTCTTAAGCCTGGCTGGTCATGATTGCATTCTGAAAACTGAGTGACCACGTGTTTTTGCATCTTCTCTTCTTTCTCACGTACCATTCAGTCAAGCATGCAATATGAAGGGTGTCGCCCGCCCAGAGGTCGACTCCCTAACGTTGTGTGTGCATCGACCGCATCTCCTGTCACTGTGTGTGGAAAGTTTGAAACAAACCCACTTCAGCTTTCTCTTGACCACAAACACACCACTATACACAATGGAGAGAGCCCAGAGGGAGTCCTGAAAAGCACCACATACACCCACGTTTTCATCTCCACCCAAACGCACTCATGGGTGCTGGCTTGTTATTATGGTTCAGATCTTCATTACTGTGTTTTTTTTTTTGTCAAAGTTGTAGGACTCCTGCCGATTTGCATGCAAAAGTAAAGCTATGAAAGTTCCCAGGTGTGAGTGCGGTCACATGCATCATGATAAAGAGAAGATTTTTCTACACTCTTTGGTTTCAGTACATGTAGGAACTTCCCACCCAACATCCTGTAATGCTGTAATGCTTTTCACACAGTGTCCTCACATGACTCAGATCATGTTACAGTTCCTCTGGGTGCTTTTTTCTACCTTAAATAACTCTGAGGTTGTAGTGAATGATTTGTTCTATTTTCCACTCTGTCTTCATCCGTCTTTAATCCGACATCACTGCGAGCCACGACTCGAACCGACTCCCTGAAGGTAAACAGCTGATAGCACAGTATGTTAATGATTATTCCACAAATATAAGATATCCAATACAGAATACTTATTTAACAGTCTTCACTCAAGCTGATCAAAAAGTAAAAACACTTTTGTACTTATAAACCCATTAACCATTTAAGGTGATTAATTATCTAAAATTAAGTTTCATAGCGTTTGGAAAACAATAGAGTCACAAATAAGACATATCTTGTTTTATTTATTTAGCTTTAATTGTGAGTGAAATCATGTTATTTATGAACAAACTGCAGAGACTGTGAAATCTTTGCGCCTCTGAGACTCTGACACGCCTCCTTCTGCAGGCTGATTATTTGTTGCTCAATCTGTCGGGGCTAAAAGTCTGTCTACTGTAATGCCTGTGTGTGCACAGATGCACGTATGTGTATTAGTATAAATTTGTACACATTTACTTATCAATTGTAGATTTTGGGTTTGTATTCTTACTCTCATTTCTCGCTGCTCTTTGTAATGTCCAAAGTTTAATATAAAAACCTTATTTTTAGCACAAACATTTGATCATTTCATTGAATATTAATTATTTTTACTCTATGTCAAATTAATTTAAAAAGAACCAGGTGAGTTGCATGTTTCAATAAAATTATGTTGGTAATTTTTTTTTTTAAGAAGTTCCTATTTTATACTGATGACACTGTCCTCTACACCGCAGTCAGTCACTTAAATTCTGTACCCTGCATGTGTTCAAGTACAAAAAACATCTGCATAAAATACCTGATATTTAATTCTGTTCAAACTTTATAGATTCATTAATTCAAATGTTATTTTCCCTGAGGGGCAATTTGGTTTGCAACAGAGGTTCAAACAATCCATACATGACATCACAATACATAATTACAACCATGTTATTTATGACTCTAATGGATTTCATTATGAGGCTGTGGAATCGACATAATATAGATTGTCTAACAATCAAAAATTACACAGATGTTAACAAAAGCAAGTCATCGACTATGACAGTTACAATCCATTCTGCACTCTTAAAAATAATTAGGCCTCATCGTAAACAACATTTCCATCCGTTTGAATTACTTAGATATAATATAAATATGCCAGTAAACTGTATGTGCTATATATTTGTCAAAAAAATGTAACTAAATGTAATGTGTTTTTAACTAAATGACTCTTGGTTGATCCACAGCTCATCATATCTAAACTATATTCAAGCATTTTTAACTGATTAAGTTGAATAGTTTATTGGAATAACAGATTTATGCTGATTCTAAGAACTTTCAATTAATAAATTCTAAAAAATATAATAATTTCAATAAATTCGAACAGATGTAAATACTTACATACAACATTAACCCTTCACCATAAAACTGGCCCTGCTCTATCAGCACTTTCATTTGACGTGGGTCACCACAAAACCTGATCCTAGTCATGGCTTAACACTCCAGGTTCCTAAAAGTCATGAAGAATTGGAAAAAACACCTTTTGGTCCCTATGTGCCAAAAACTTTGACTTTGATTAATCTTTCATTTGCCCTGCTGTATCTTCTCTGTTGTACCTGTGGCTCGGCTTCTTGTCTGATTCACAATGATTCACTCGTCTGTGTCTTTACCTCATAAAAAAGAGAGTTTTAAAGGCATGGCCACCTCACTTTACCTGATTCGGTTCAATCTTTGACCGTTAACCACTTCTTTGTGCTTCAGTATGTATAACACTCTCCCGCCCCTCTTTAATTAAGGGCATGATCTCTGCCCCTCCTCGACCTCTGGGAGTTTTCCTCTTCATTCGGTCGCTCTTCGAACTCCTCCTGGAATTTTACAGCCGTGAGTCAGTGACAGGTCGAGCTGAGTCTGAGCAGCAGCCGGCTGCATGCGTATCCAAAAGGCATTGAGAAACCTGTACCAGCAGGCCCCCGGCGTCATGGGTGTACACCTTTCCCGACAGTTTTAGGGCGAGTCCTTGAGTGAATGGCTATTCTTCCCGAGACTCAGACTGACTGTTGAAGCTCCCAAAGAGGACCAGGGATGTTAAGATGCCGAAACTTTTGTTTTCAAGGATTAAATTTTATGAAATTAAGGATTTAATGCAAAATGTGAAGCGGCCGATGAGGTAAGACAGGCAGTCCGGTGAAAATGAGCAATGTCTGAGTGAAGATGACTGGGTTTTTTTAAACTAGAAAGAACCTTGAACTTGTTTTTTATTAAAAAGTTTGTCCTGATTTTTATTCACAGAATAGATATTGTTCTTAATCGAAAGAGGCATAAAAAGGATATCCAGCGCCTCATGGTACAAAAGCTAAATGAAGAGGCTTATTCTTCCAAACGCAGGTAGAGTAAAGTTTTATTATTGTGTTCCAATACATTCTTGTTTCAATAAAAGTAAAAACTATTTTTCTTGTTTATTAGCTGGCAGGCTGATCATGAACTCTTCCCAACCATGGAGAAACTGCTTCAGGATAAAAGTAAGAAAACTCGATGTCCAATACAATCAAACCTAAAGGCGCTCATATTTTAAGTGAATCTTTAGTCCTCAGAAAATTAAACTTTTAATCTCACAAACTTTTGAATACCTCAACACCGTCTTTTCTCTCTTCACAGAATGTCTAGCAGCATTTCGGGCTTTCCTGAAGTCCGAATTCAGCGAGGAAAATCTGGATTTCTGGCTCGCCTGTGAAGACTTTAGGTCGACGGCCTCTTCGGACGACCTTCGCTGGAAAGCAGAGAAGATCTACCAGGAGTTCATCGAGCCAACAGCCTGCAGAGAGGTCAGTCTGCATGAGAAAGTTTCTGGTCAGCAGTGGAGAAGAATACTAATAATATAGTCTTTTCCTTTATTTCCCAAGTTGAACTCAATATACACGATTTCCCCTGAATTGAAGGTTACAAAACAGAGGAAGATGATGTTGCATAAGCTCAAAAAACCTGAGAAGAACGAGTGAAAGTCTCAGAAAGTAGATGAAGAAATGAGACTACAACATGTCACAACTTCCACTGCCTCTGGTGATGAATGCTGCAACATCTCCGGTGTTGGCATCCTGTGGGGTGTGGTTCACAAGTGTTTTATCTGCTCTGTTATTGTATTCAGTGAAATCCACTCAGATGACAAAGAAGAGAGTAAGACAGTTTGATAGAAAGAACTTGACAAACTTGGCGAAACTAAATCATGGATGACTTAACTCAGTGTCTTCTTCTTCTTCCTGTCCCAGATCAACGTCGACCACCATATCAGAGAGAAGATTAAGCAGTCTTTGGACGAGCCCAGCCTTTCATGCTTCGATGAGGCCCAGAGACACGTTTATCTCCTGATGGAAAGAGACTCTTGCCCCAGATTTCTCCAATCAGATGCCTACTTAAGCCTAAAGCAGAAATCCAGGACTCTTTGGTACATTTAAGGCCATCAGAACTCTGTATCAACCATAGACTGTGTATGAGAAGTGGACAGACATGGCTATAGAAACCCACTTCTACCCCAGTTTTTCTTTAACATGTTGTTATTTATCAGTATCCTGGTGCTGGCTCTGTACCTGGGGGTCTTTGCTGCTGCTCCACCTGCCTTGGGTTTTCATTTATGCACATAAACCAGGTGAAGGTTTATTTTCCTGACCGCAGGATTTGGCATTTCAAAGTCAGGAAGCTCTCAAGACCACCCACCAAACACCCGACGTCATTTAGATGTCTTTTTTCAGCCTAGATCGTAGTCGTAAAACTAAAAGACGTCGAAAAGTGGGCTTCATTTGGACGGTCTGAATTTAGACGTTGTTTAGACATTTGGTGAAGACATCTATCCAACCACTTTTTGCTGGATGGAAAAAGTCGTCCCATTTTCACATTAAATTAAGAATAAATCAAACTTCTTTCTTATAGTTTTCCCCTACTTTTAATACAAATTTACAAATTTCTGAGCACTTTTAACGCACAGTCTATGGTTGCTTTTCCATTCCTCACTTTTTGTACATTTCTTTTTTTTTACTTTGCTGAATCTATAAGCTATTTTTTTAACTAAAATAGGAAATGTGAAAGAGGGTATTTTGATAAAGTGTTGTAGAAAGTACTAAAGCAAGTAAAAAAGGAAAAAGTCATGTGGGAGGGAAAAAGTTTGTGTACCAGAGATTAAAGAGTGCCATAGCTACACATTAGCGTGGATGCAGACATATGGAGTTGTGTGGATTACAGTATGTGCTACCAGAAAGTCTTTGTAAGTTTGGGTGGTGTTTACAGTACGGGAGATAATACAGAACGATAAATAAATGTGGAAATAAAATGGCAATAAATGAACAACTCTTTTTTCCAACTTTGGATCCCTCTTCACGTACGTGCTTTCTTCTTCAAAATCATACTGTTTCCGTGCCGTCAGAAGTTGTGAGACAAAGGTTTATATTTATCTGACTGACTGTCTGACTGCAGCCGTGGAGATGGGCATGAGTCAGGGAGAAAAAAGAGAAGAGTTTCCACAGTTCACCCAGCAAGGAGATTCTGTTTTTGGTCACATGTTTGATATATCCTCTAATTAGGTGCAGAGATGACTCCACACACCAGCAATAGGGTTTACCAAACTGGAAAAAAGTAACCCTGCAGTAACCCTTGATCCCTCGCAGCTCTGTAAATGGCCTTATTCTGAAGGATTGTGCCTTAAAAAGGAGTACTGAGGCAGCTAATAATAACTCAGGGGCTTAAACGACAACACTGGAGTCATCAGACAACCTGAGGCGTAACAGATCAGCCTGAATGTGCTGCCTTGTTAGGGGAATAATCTCATCATCTACAGACAATGACGGCGGAGATACACAACTGCCTTTCTTTGACATATGACGGAGTTGTTCCCTGGAAAGATATCAAAGCGTTTTGTGAAAAAATCAAAATAAGATTTGACGATTATTACCATCATGGCTTTATATAGTTGAATCTTTTAAGTTTGTTTTGTCAATGAAAATACAATCATTAACATGGTGAAAAAATAAAAATATAAGTATTTAGATAAAGATCTGATTAGAATTTTTTTCTCACAATGCCACTTCAAACTGCGGTAAAGCTGCGATGTTTAAAATTGAAGCATAGAAAAATAAATCACTTTGTCAACCTGCTCTGGTAGGAAACAAGAGCTTCAGCCTTAACTGTCCTAATAAGTGATCAACACTTAAGTGGCAACCTCCCGTATTGAGAGATAAAGCCAAAGCTGAAGTGCTAAAAACTGCAGTTCCTCAAGTCACCACTTGAGGCTCGCTGCAAAACTTTCAATAGCCACATACACACCAATGAGAAAAACATCGATTTTAGCAGCAAAGATCAACACGTTTACAGCTTTGGTTTGAACTAGCCAGACATGCTGCAGCTGACAGCGAGGAAGCTTAACACCTCCTTACTCCACGTTTTTCCTCCTACTCTGATCAACCCAAAGTCTGATTGTGCCGTATTTCCAATATTGTTCCGGCCTTTAACGGGTTTTAAATATGTGCCCTCAAACTTTGCCACTAGCATGATTATGTCCATGTTTCGCACAGTCTTTAATATTATCAGGCTGTATTGAATACTTGATTCTGGTTGGTCAAAACCTCATAACAGTGGTCGTTAACGCTCAATGGATTATGATATCAATTCAATCTGCAGATAGGAGACTTGCCCACTTCATCTTTGCCTGTTGACACTGCAGCCAAAATGTTTGTTTGGTCTTTCGAGTCAGGACATAGTTTTCCCATTGTTACTGGTTACTAGTAACAGTAATAATGGATAACGTTCATTGGAAAAATTCAATTTGATGTAATCTACAATAAACACTATGCTAATGTTTCAACTTGACCATGAACAGACATGTTTGGTTATCAAAAGGAAGCAGATAGGAGTTTGTTGACATGGAAACATTTCATTTACGTGAAATCAGGAGATTTTTTTTCCATCATAGGATCAAATCATCTCCGAGTCGACAAAGTTATCTTAAAACTCTGTGTGGTTTTTGTTGGTAACTTGGTGATAAAGATTGACTTAATGACTTTTGGGTTCATATAACTCTGTAGACTGTTTATGTAGTGAGCACATTGATCGAGACTCACTCTGAATAACAAAACTTAACTGTTTCCCTTAATGCTCATCTTTCTTTTCCCAATAAAAGAGTCAGATTTTCTCAAAATGCAGGGTCTAAGAATTATAGTGCATTACTTTTGGTATAGGTGCTGTTAAGTAAGGGATAATGTATAGTGAATGGGTGATAATGCAAACTAGATAGCACTCTGCTGTGGTTTGTTCTGCTCACCCTGTCATGATTGAATAACCACCTATTCACTATACATTACTCCTTACTCAACAGCATTTAATTCCTATTCCAATCCACCTATATTTGTATAGCACATTTTAAAAACAACATAACCAAAGTGCTGCACAATAGATAAAGTAAAAAAAAAGATAAAATAAAGTTAAAATACAGTAAATTAAGAGCATATAAAAGCTAAAAGAAGAAAATATATTCAAATAAAACACTGGGAATTATAAAAATACAATAAAAGACAGAGACCACACAACTCTCATGCAGTATTAAAAGCCAAGGAGTAAAAATTAGTTTTTAAACAAGATTTAAAAGTATCCAGGGTGGGGGTCATTTTGATATGGGTGGGTTGCACATGCATGCTCTTTATGGCACGACAAGACTCAGCTGATCCGTGGATCTCAATGCTATTCAATCAGTAATCAATACATTTTAAGTCAGAGATATGGATACTGGTTAAAGCATCGTGTTGCAAGCTAAGTTGTTGGAGCACTTTGTTTTTAATAACGTTCAATCTTAGGAGAAAAAAAAGTGGTTTCATGTTGATATAAAACACTCAATCGTTATGTAATAATTGAGTGAGTCCGTCGCCGTCCTCTCTTAACCCCAACAAAACTGGCTGTGTGAGCATGACCACGCAAAGTGTGAAAGAAAGCAATAAGTCGAAGAAAAAAAACAACAGTGCTGCAACTACCATGTTGCAAGAGCAATTAGCACGAAGTAGGAAAAATAAAGTATGATATGTTTCCTCAAAGACTGTCTATTATTAAATGTTTATGTTGCACATAAGCAGGTTTCTGTTATTTTGCAGAGTTACGGCTCCAAAGTCAAACGTCAGTATCTGTGAGTACTTCGAGGTGTCGGGGGTTGTTCCTGATACTTGACAGAGGTCTCACATCTCCCGCATCACATGGCGCACAATCCTTCACACACAATCTGTCGCTGTTTTCACACAGCCCGGCACGGTAACCATAGTAACAAAAAAGGAAGTGAGTACTGTCAGTGGCACAGTGTTAGTCAAGACCGTCACACTTGGGGAACTTCACAGATCTGAACGCTGCAGGCTAACGGTCTTAGCGTGGAGCTTTTCATCCCGCCGTGTTCCTGAAGAGACACAATCATGTAGAAAAAGGGACAGCTTTCAGCTCTCGGTGTTTGGTGTCTCTTCTTTACGCTTCAGCACTTATAACCGTGTTTGGGCAAAAAAGGGAGAGCAGCATCACTGAAGCCAAGCCAAAGGGCAGATTGTGAGAGAAAGGCCCGGGGCATCAGATGGTGAGAAGAAAAGGCCGTCTCAAGGCTAAAAAAACGACATTTAATCAGGTTTCTGATAACACACAAGTCCTCAGAGGTATTTTAAGCACCATCTGAATCCTTTGTTCTCCGGGTTTTCTGCCAGATCTTGCACGCTGTTCTGCAAACTGAGAAAAAACTTTTATTTTTGAGGGATATGGACAGAAAAGTGAAGAAGATGCTTAGGTGGGACTTAAATTGGGACTTCTAAAGGAGCAGGGAATCAGGCCCAGATATCTCAAGTGCTTTTTCTGGAGGCAGGACAATCTTGTGTTGTATTATCTTTGTAAGTGATTCATCTGGAAGCAAAAGCTGCTCTACTGACTAATATCCATCTGTCGGAAAAGCAGGCATTGTTGAGATACGTGGAAAGGAATGACCGGGATAGTGACAAACGGGAAAATGGGTTTAATATCTCATCAGAGCAAAGTCAAAGGGGGATGGAGTCAAAACTTGGAGTAAAGAGAGCAGAAAGCTGAAAAATGCAGATCGGGATTTCCAGTTTAATTCAAGGCCTTTGTTTTATTAATGGACGCCCAGTTGGCCACATGAGTTGTCTTTAGCCTTGGTGTTGAACGTTCGGTGATAAAACGTGTTCAGATCTTTTCTGTCTACATTCACTAAATCTAAGACAAAATTTACTGTCCGTGTCGAGAAACTCGAGGACAGAAAGTCCAATTTGCAGGAAGAAAAACTCACTTTTAGTCTTTTATAGGTGGAAATAAGTTGTGTTTTTATTGGTGTGTCTTTCTTGTACAAAAAAAAGCTATTTTTTATCTTTATCATTTGAACAGAACACAAAACCCTATGTCTTTTGAACCCTTTAAGACATGTTTCAGTCTCTTGAACCGACATCGAAAACCACGGCTGTTGAGCATGTTAGCCTTGAGCTCTTCATAAATTTTTCACATGTAACTTTAAATCTAAAACTAACGGCAACACCGTGGATACCCTCAGGCAAAGACTACATAAAAACATCAAAACTGAAACCTCTGTCCCCTCAAAAACTTTGATGTTGAAGCTTTTATAAACACTTTAAAAACCACTCTGGTCCAAGCATGCCCCTGTCTTTAAGATGAGACAAAAGTTCAGGATGGGATACTGAAACCCATAAATTCTCCCAGTCCATTTTTCAGCTTTTTCAATGCCAGACAAAATATATCACAGAGCAGCACTGATTTGAAGGACACATACGAAGTCAAAGGTCAGAGCTACTTAAGCTAATTCCAGCTAACGCTAGACACTCGCCCAGAAACTGTCCAGTCCACTACAAGTTCTCAGTTTCTGGCCAAGCCCAGTTATCTCGCCTGTCTGCTCGGAAACCCTTTAACAACTAACAGCCTTATAATAAATAATAAAATGTTATATAAATATATTCATGATCCCGTCTGCTGCCCGGACTTTAGGTTGTTCCACAGACAGAGGCTGTAATACTCAGCTGCCTCTTATGGGTTTTTGATTAGACCTTAGGCACCATTAACGGACCCCTACCTGAAGGCCTAAGAGTTCATTAGCTAAAACAAATCTGATAAATGAGTTGGAACCATACTGATAAGAGTTTTATAAACCAATAAAAGAGCATAAAAATCGATTTTAAACTCCACGGGCAGCCATTACAGAGGCTTTAAAATACGTATAATGTGGACTTCCTCTTTGGTCTTTGTCTCCATTCTTGCAGCAGAGTGTTGAGTCAGCTCGAACTAGGAAATGTCGTTCATAAGGATACTAAAAAGAAGAGCATATGGTCATTTCCTCATCATATAGAGGTAGGAAGTCTCTGCGAAAGCTTGAGAAATAAACTGTCACCTTGGCAAATGTTTTTCAAAAATCATTATTTATGTGATAAGAGAGTCAAAATTAGATCTTAAATATCATGGAAAAGAGGCAAAGTGGAATAAAATATTTCCATTCAGTTTGTATCTGAGTCACCATCAGTACCATCAGAGTGTTGTCCTGAAGCGGTAAAAGTTCCCCATGACTAAAATGCAATAACGTCTCCAAAATAAAGACTTCATATCCAAAAGAAAATCATCATTTTGTGTTTATAAAGTTACATTTGGTGGTTCGACTCTGTTCTGTAAGCTCCCTGCTGTTTCATGCACATCTGTGAAAGCTAAAGCCTAAGGTGAAGAGGGCACAGTCCCTGTCCCTTAAATGTACATGAATAAGACGGAAGGTAGAGAGAGCAGCCAGTCAGATTTAGGGCAGGCAGAGCAGCAGCAAAGACCAGAGGCGGGAAGACCAGCAGGAAAGACTAAAGGCGGGTAGAGCAGCAGCAAAGTCCGGAGGCAGGAGGACCAGCATGAAAGACTAAAGGTGGATAGAGCAGCAGCAAAGTCCAGAGGCAGGAAGAGCAGCAGGAAAGACTAAAGGTGGATGGGGCAGCAGCAAAGACCAGAGGCAGGAGGACCAGCAGGAAAGACAAAAGGTGGGTAGAGCAGCAGAAAAGACCAAAGGAAGGAATACAAGCAGGAGGACTAAAGGTGGGTAGAGCAGTGGGAAAGAGTAAAGGTGGGTAGTGCAGCAGCCAAGACCAGAGGTAGGGAGACCAGCAGGAAAGACTGAAGGCAGGCAGAGCTGCAGCAAAGACCACTATGGTACAGACACTGATAGAATTAGACGGAACATCTAAGGGAGGATTTGGGGTGTAGGCTGATTAAGAAGCGGTACACTGAGTAGGCAGGCCAAAGCAACTTAAATCAACCACTCATCTCAATGTATGCCAGTATTAAGTGTAGACGGTTGTTGGCTGAGGTGTCAGCTGACACAGGCTGGTGTTTATGTTCCTGAGCTTATTTTTGTGGCCTGTCTGAACTAACTCAAAGCTCAATTCAAAAAGGGGAATTGGGCCTGGGTCATCAGGAGGCGAGTAGAGCTGTCTACCATCTCCTAAAACAGTGTTTAAGTGTTTTCAAAGCTTGTCTCTACTTGCATGTTTCAACAAGTCAGATTTAGGACTTCTTAAAAAACGTTATGAATACAATTTAAGAACCATTCAACATCCATACTGGCAAAAAGTACAAAAGACATGAAGGGGAATTAGAACATTTTACATTACTTTAAATCAATCTTTATTCCTATGGCACATTAGTTATTTCAACATCGTATTTAAGACATTTTATGAGATTTGAAGAGAATTTTCAGACATTTTAAGGCCCCGCAGGTACCTTGTAACTTCAACATTTATGTTAACACTGAACACAGACTTCATTCATAAGAGGATTTCAATGTACCAGAAGTGAGGGTTTCGACGATTAAGCAAAACTTTGTGGCTGTAACAAGAGCGGTCATGGTGTGACGTAGAGGCTGTTCTTCTTACTTCCTATCGCTCCACTGAGTGTTGCAATCCGTTTGCCGTTTCCTCTTTGCAACATACCTCTGCATCCTCACATTGCATGTTTTTCACCACATTTTTGAAACTCCTTTTATGGGACTAGTAAATGTCGAAGTGTGCGGTTTGACATCCAGAGGAGCTGAAACCCTTTCCATTAGTCTTCAACAGACCAAAACACGCACTGTGTAAAGGTCACGATTTGCCTATCGCAGTCACTGTTACTGTAATTTGCATCTGTTCGGCCAGACTAAGAATAATATGAACACATCATGCTGGGTGTTTGGCTCATCCAGTTGGGAGGAGGGAAAGATCTGCAGCAGCAGCAGCAGCAGGGGGAGAAGAACGGACGCAGAAAGACTTAATAGGGAGAAAGGCATCAAGAGGAGGGAGGCACACATGCAGTACAGTGTGCGTATGTGTTGTTTCTGACAGTGAGGTGGGAGGAGAGGAGGAACAGGGGAAGGAGGAGGAAGGGGTGCTTCCTCTTCAGTCTGGGGCTGAGCTGCTGATGTATCCCAGTAGTCCGTAGCAACAGGAAACCTTGGTATAAAAAGCGGCGTTGCAGGGGGAACCCTCCTAAGAGTCTTTCAGCCGCAGCATGACCAGGACGGAGAGCCTGAGAGTTTGGACTTAACAAAACAATGCCCAGCCTAATCGTCGAACCACTCAACACACAAGAGTTCATCATGGACAGAGATGACAGGAAGAGAAACAAGAACATGTGAGTGAAACTTTGACTTTTGTGGGGTTTCCGTTACACTTGATTTTATCCGGAGGATCTTTATGAATTTACAAAGCGGCGCTTTACGTTTTCGGTTCTCATGGCAAAGAGTCGGACGATGCCTTATGGTACATCTTCTAAAAAAAGTTCAACTTAACCTCAGCGCACGCTTTCTTTTTCTAACTACTCACATGCCAAACATGCTTGGGTAGATTCACTGGAAGCTAATTTAACAGCAGATAATCCTATAGAGGTATTTATTCATGTTTGTCTTATCTCTACTCAGTGGAAAGAACTTCATGTGCCGACTCCAAGGCATGTTCTCACACTCATCAAGCTCTGAGAGGTAAGGGGACTTATGGAGTGTTTTGCATACATTTCAGTTTTAAAATAGCCAGCCTGCCTCTATCATTTCCATCTATGGCATCATGAAAGGATTCAAATGAACTAGAGACACCATGTTTGCTTTGGCACGGCGCACAAGTGAACCAACAGATCCCATGGTTGGACATTTTTGCACAAATTTGATAAGCACATCTGCTATGCTTTCTTGATTAGACTGCTTCTGCGTCCTTGCGGTTCGCCCCCAGCTTGATTTTAGCCAAATTTGATTCTGGTTGAGTAATCAAACTTGCCTTTTTCTCTCCCAGCAGGCTAACTTTAGAAGACACCCAACAATGGTCACAGTCACTGGAGCGGCTGCTGGATTCTAAATGTAGGTTGATTTCCCCCTCGAGGACGATAATGCTGCTGTAACAGTAAATCATGTTTGTGAGGATAAGAGTTAAAGGAGGATTCTGCTTCCTTACGCTTGGTGTGTTTTCTTTGCCCTCCTCAGATGGACTGGCCACGTTTCGCAACTTTCTCAAATCCGAATACAGCGATGAGAATATTGAGTTCTGGCTCACCTGTGAGGATTACAAGAAGATCAAGTCTTCATTCAGGATGTCCTCGAGAGCTAAGAAGATTTATGAGCAGTTTGTCAAAGCGGAGTCTCCTAAAGAGGTAAGTTCGAAAGCTTTGAATTCATGCGCGGATTGTAGCTTTACTGACAGAGTAAAGTACCTGTCAAAACGCAGAATCTCTGATCTCCTCTATCCATCTCATTCCAGATTAACATCGACTATCACACCCGAGAGCAGATCAAAAGGAACGTCAAATCCCCCACCGTGCACTGCTTTGACGAGGCTCAGAAGATCGTTTTCGGACTGATGGAAAGAGACTCGTACCCGCGGTTCCTCCGCTCGGACATTTATAGAACTCTCCTCGAAAACCTTTCTGCCGACGCCGCGAAGGGCTGAAAAGCGTGGACCCTGAAGGGGGGAAAAGAGAGACTTTGATAACCAACAACTGGAATGTTTGCGCTCCTTCAAGAGGAAGGACTGAACACAAAGAAGGAAGGAGGGTCGAGCTGCACACCCCACGGACACATACGGAGGCCTTGCGCTTCGGCGGCGACACTAGATCCAGATGCAAACCGTGGAAGATGCCCTGCATGGACCAGCCATTTAAAACGTGTGGAGAAATCTGTGTGTGCAGGCCGTCCGATCACTTCTGACAATGAGAAAACCAGTGGGGTGACAAGAGGCTCGCTCCACGGAGCAGAGCGTGCAGCGGACCTCCTTTGGCCTTCTTTGCAGAGGTGTTTCCTGAGCAGATAACATTAGTGGATGTAAGACGCCACGGTCACACCTGATTAGCTGTGTGTAAGTGTGTGTGTTTGAGCGAGAGAGAGAGAGAGAGAGAGAGAGAGAGAGAGTGTGTGTGTGTGTGTAGTTGTAGCTCTTAAGTGCTACTGACAGAATAAGCTGTCGCAATACGAGTTGGCCAATTATCTAACGACAGCACAAAGGAAGCCGACGAATCCATAGCGGACGGAGGACTCGATAATGACGTGTCATCCTCGGTAAAGGGTTGCAGAAGGCCGCTTAGTTCTGCAAGAGGCGTTCTGGGACACTTTAAAAGGAGATTTTCCTTTCTTCCTCTTTTTTTTCTTTTTTTGTTTAAAGCGGACTCATACTTTTTGGGATTCAAGCTGCCTAAGAGTGATATTTTGTGCCGTTGTCTGATACCCTCGAGGTTTCTCACTGCAAAGAAAGTCGTTTTATTTAAAGTCAGAAATAGGATGAGTTTATTTTCAAGTGCGCACTTTTTTTTTTTCATTTTGAGAGGAAGTGGGACTAAACTCTGCACTACAGCAACTAAGAAGTTCCCAGTTTCACAGCCGGTGACGTCCAACGTTGATTTCATAGACTAGTGAAGAAAGCCGGCCGTTGTTTTAGTCTACCAATTCTTAAAGCACTTAAAAGTCGTGATTTTATGTAATGAACTATCCGAGTGGAATTATTTTATAGAGATAGGAAATGTCACCTTGCATGATAGGGTTTAAAAAAAATACTCCTTGTACACCCTGAACAAGCCTTGTTACTGCCTCCAAAAGCATGATGTTTGAATGTATTTGTAGGAGTTAATAGTGATGTTAACTTAAAGTTCAACGATGCATTATTTATTGTTAATTGTCACTGTTTGAGTACAAAGTTTGTTGCAGTGTTGAAGTGCCTGTTTAGTGATTTGAAAGACATTAAATTATTTAACTTGCTTCTTGAAAACAAGGTGATTTTTTTTTTTTTTGTTTTTACACGGTTTCGTTTACCCCGAATGATCTCGAACCAGCAGGGTTGGAAAATTAATGCAATGTTTGAATTAAGACTGTGATATGTTTAAAGAGCAATACTACACCACATGAGCATGGAAACGCTGAGGCGGTGCCAAGTTCTGTTGAGCCAAATAATTATTTTCTCTACAGAGCGTTTGTTGGCACTCAGTCGTACTAACTGTATATACAGTATAATATTTTTAAAATAGTGCTGCAGCTCTGTTTCAGACTCTAAATTAACACACTAATGCGGCTCTCATTCAGGAGTCAGAGAGTCATAATATCTAAAAACTCCAACCGTATAGAAAAGCACATTAAAGTCAAAACATTCCTGCAGAGGATTTATGGTGCTTGGAGTTTCCTGACATCCATTTTTTCTTTATCACTGAAAAGCATCAGTTTGGCCCACATTAGTGAAATACTCCTTTAACATAAAAACAGGAAGCTCCCAGGATCGGTCTCTTGTGAAATGAGTCGTTGTGAGAAGTGAGATTTTGTCTAAAGCGAAACTATTCTGAGAAAGTACTTACTTTTTTACTTGCTTTCGTTGTTTCTTAAATCTGGTTCAAATCATTTGAACCTAAAGGCAGTCGTGTTTGGAGCAGATATTCAATCAACTTTCAATTTAAAGAAATGCAAAATATGAATTACGATATAAATTCTGCTTTTAACCTGATACACCAGGGTCCCAAAGTGCTTTCAGAGTCGAGTTAAAGATGTGAAGCAAAGAAACCAAGACTTTGAGCTGGTTCTGCTTCACTTTTTTACCCTAAATGTGGATTTAAAGCTCTGTATTCATCGACCAAAATATGAATATGTTCGCCACTTTACTGTCATGAGGAGGTCAATTATTTAACTCATATTCAATCTACATTATGAGTTTAGTGGTCATCTTATGATGTTTTTTCAAAGGCCAATGCTGATAATAAAAGAGCAGGTCATATATTATGACTGATATTATATGGAAATGATTTGTGCATTGATAAAATCTAATTTATCAATATGAACAAATGAGAAAAAACTGCTAGTTTCTTATAATGAATCTGGACTGATAATATTTGGTTTAGTAAAATGTGTCCAACCATCTGTAACTATACAATAAATATGAGGTAGATATCTGGTTAAAATAAAAATAGTATAGTCATGTATAGTTTCGTTATTCATTACAATTTAAAGCCAAAAATTACCCCGGTGGACGTCACCATGGCTACAGATTCTTTCCCGTAACTCGTCTTCTTACATCCTAAATAAACATTAAACTCTGACCGAGTTAAAACAATAACTTACTATTGCAGTAGTAAATGGGACATATTCAAAGTGTTGTCAAAAGGTTCTGACCAATCAGAATCAAGGATTCAACACAGACAACCATGTAAGAAGTCGGGGCCACTGTGTAGTGATCGGGTGGTTACACAGATTGGAATTTTCCCAGGGTGAGCAGGACCAGGACGTAAAGCTGGGGCTGCTCTGCTGCAGTTGCACGGATTGCAGGACGGGTTGTTGCTTATCTGGGTCCATTTTTCATCAAGCTGCTCTCACATATGTGCCTATGAGCTGTCAATCAACCTGAGACAGAAATCAGGTGGTGAAATGTGTCAATCTTCAGACTGATATGATATGACGTCTGATCAAACTGTCCCTGGAATCGCCTCTGTAAAAACCCTTACTGTGAATGAACAAGCTTTGTACCTGAGAGCGGTCTGAATGTCCATCGTCTTTTACACGACGACACTGATGGGAAACGTTTGTCTGCAGCAGTCAAAGAAACCCCAGAGGAGACTGAGGCTGATTTCATTTCACTGTGGGTATTGACTGTTTAATAAGAGTGTTTGGATGTTTTATATATCCCTCCTGGCTGTGCGCTGACTTTGAGTAGATCACCTATGGAAATATTTAGAATTTTATTGTTGTCCCAGTTAAATTTTACAGGCTCTGGCTGCCTCCATCGCAGTAAAATACACTCTTGTATTTGCTTTTCTGTGTGTTTTTATGGGTGCGATCTCTATCTCTCCTTTATGTTGTTGACTAACCTTATTTTCCTCTCCCCGGATCAATGATTAATACGCTTGACCAAATGTCGTTTTTAAGCACTGCGAGATGAAAACAAAAACAGCTATTATATAACATTATCATGGTTCTGTGTTGTTCCCACAAACTGAATTCTGACATTGTAAAGGACGAAGAGTTCACGGTGAGGTTACGACATTATCGCTCACCTCTCTTGGTTTACATGTACACAAACGGAAACAAGAGGAAGGTGGCGTTAGGTAACAAAAGTTTCAACATGATCACCTCACAGACTGGTGGGTAAGAAGGTGAGACATCGACAGTGAAGTGTAAAGGTGCTGACGTTACACTCATGGTCTCATCGAGCAAACTACTTTATATAATAAAGGTTGAGTAAAGACAGTATTATCTTTTAATATCTTCTGCAATTTTAAAATCACGTGCAAACTAAGTGTTTTTTTTTCAGTTGTCCTAACACAAAAAAAAATCACCTAGTAGTAATTTTGTATTGATTCAAACATCATCTTTTACCACATCAGAAGCCCAAAAATTTCCATCATCCTTATTTCCTCTTCCGCCTTCTATCTAGCTTCACTGGAGTTCAAGCAATTTATTGTATCTTTCCAATCATGTGTAACGACTGGGAATGATTCAGATCAGCGAAGCCCCGCCCCCTGAGCGACAGTACTTTCTTTGTTTCGTGTGGTTTCGTGTTGTTTCCGACTTTATAAATACTTGTGGATTAAATGTCAGACGGTGAGGTCAATAAAAAAACAATCCAGAGATACTCGATGGAGTGTTTCAAATCTGTTGAAACAGTGTGGGACTTTTATGCACGGATAAATGGACGTTATTACCAGACAATTTATTCATTAAAACATGAAAGAAATGCAAAAATATCTAATTTCCCGACTGTTTTGATGCTTTTTTTACTACACTTCTTTTACACAGCGGCATTAATCCCCACAGATAAGCAGATGCAGTTTCCAAATTTCTCTGCCGGTCTATCACAACCCTGCAGCTCTTAATGTTCAACCTCACATTACTCAGTAACTCCCCTCACACAGTGACCTCTTTGTGCTAATGGTTATGTATATGAGAGGTGTGGGAAGTTTATAGCGCTTCAGGGGGGGAACATAACTCGTATAACTCGAGCCTTTTGTGCATCCCCGTGCAGCGCAGATCGAGCTTTTCAAAGTAGATCTAATACTTCTGCTTTAACTTGTAAATTCACCGCCTATTCTCTTTGGTACATCCAAAATAAGCCGACATGAATTATTCAGAAATGTGTCTGTAGGTGTGAAACAATCGATGGATTGATAATAGAGTCCTTTTTCAACCTTAAATCAAAGAGACATTTGCAGGAAAGAATAAAAAAAATGTGCAATATAAATTAAAAGAATAATTACATGCAGTTATTAGATTTTTTGCTGCTTCTTACAATCCACCCATAACGTCACGTGAGATTGTTTTGCCATCCCGCCCTCCTTGTGCTGTCTTTTGTTTGTGTTTTGGCTTTAACAGCCTGGATCCATGTGAAAGCAGCATCAGTCAGAATAGATAAAGTAAGGCTTCACAGGTGTTTCACAGCCAACCCACTCACTCTGACCGGGAGTCCACGTGAGCAGGACTTTCACAGGTTTGCAGGATGCACGTGCAGAGATTAGGCACAGCTGTCCTGTCAGGGTTTAATCCCACGTTTAAGATTCGGGCTGTTATCTTCTTTCATTTATCATTACTGCTTTTCTTTAACCCTTTGGACGGCGGGAGTGTTTGTGCTTTTGTAACGCACTGAGAATCTTTGACTCATTGAGCTTTTCAACTGAAAAAGGAGCTCCAGATGAAAAAGAGAAATAGGGTGACAGTGTTCTGAATCCCCAAAGAGAGGACAGGACTATGCGGGGGCGGAGTCGCCGAGTTGCGCAAAGTTAATTTTGAGAATTTTTCGGGATGGGTCGAGTGTTTTTTACGCGCTTCTAACTCAGTAAGTCTACGCGACACAAACTTAAAACTTCCATACAAAACCCTGGACATTTGAAGGATCTTATAAACTCCCCCGGACAAGGCCGGACAGCCCCCGAAAAGAGGACACGTCCAGGTAAAGAAGGACGTATGGTCACCCTAAATAAAGGTTCTTCAAATGTAAAACCCAACTGTCTTTAAAATGAAATCCTTTGCACGAGTGAACTACACGAAAAGTAGGGTGACCATATTCTAAACTCCAATAAAGAGGACACGACTACGTGGGGGCAGAGTCACGGAGTTGCGTATAGTAAATATTGAGAGTTTTTCAGGTCAGGTCGAATGTTTTTTATGCGCTTTTAACTCGGTAAGTCCACATGACACAAAATCCAAACATTTGAGGGATTTTATAAACTTTCCTGGACAAGGCTGGACAAGACTGGAAAGCCCGGACAGCCCCCGAAAAGAGGACATGTCCGGGTGAAAGAGGACATATGGTCACCGTAATGTAAAGTGAAATAAAAAGATACAACTGGATGCAAGTTTTTGTCGACCAATATAAATGACGTGAATGAGGTGGCTTCATTCGCTTTGCTTATTTGCATCTGGTGTGAACACGAATTTCTGCTGCGTTCACACCAGATACAACTGAATTCAGTTGCATGTATTAGAGCGGCTATATGTTTTACTTTACTTGCTTGATTCGTGCCGATAACTCGCTCTATTTGCGCGAACAAACTCATGAAATTAACGCCATTTCAGTCTCTTTTTAGCAAACATAGATGCTACCAGAAAATTCGCTCTCCTCGCTCCAGTTTCGAGTTCAGACTTTTCAGCTTTCAGGAATAAGTAAATAACCAATTCATAATCTGCCCAGACCTTGCGTCTAATCACACCTCGTGCTGATTTGTCTGCGTTTGGCGCGGTTACAACATGATGTTTGTTAAAGCTGGTTAAAAAAATAAACAGAAGAACCCGAGCAGAAACCAGTGCACTGAAAACAAGGCGTGGTTACGTCAACTAAAACAACACGAATGTGGGTCGATTCACTGGGAAGATTTTTGAAATCTTGTGGGCGCTTTTGTAAAAACAGAACTCGTCCTTTGGGATATTATGAGGCTGTAAGGTTAATTTTTATTAACCCTCATTATTCCATGTTATTATTCCTCATTCCTGTGTTTTTTCTGCGTACTATAAAACCCAAACACAAGCCGTGGTTTACTTTGTTGACGTCCTGAATGTTCTACTCTTCCCCTTTTAACACTCAACACTAAACAAAGGCGACCAGACGGTACAAGAGTGCTGCCGGGTTTTACCAAATACCACGACTCCCGAACACGCCGAGAACAAACTCTACGAGCGTCTGCTGGGAATCACCTCCTGCGTACGGCCCTCTGTTCAGACCTCGTGCCTCAGTGGAAACTTGGCTCTGCTCTTCATCCACTTCTAAACAGACGGCTGCTTACACACAGTCTGCACATCATAATAAACACACGAGGTGGACACGGCGTTTTCGCCCAGCTCAGCTCCAAACTGCGATAATCTCAACACAGCAGGTGACGCAGATAAAGCGTTTAAGCGCAGATAACCCAGAACAGACTGTTATCGTTTTTTTTTACATACAGCCTGTGTGTCCTGTTCTTCGAGAGAATGGCGCTATTTCTGGGATGTGATGCAAAACATTACGGGAAAAGGCGGTGACCATCACAAGGGGCTGATGGGAAATCTCTTTCAAAACAACTTTAAGTTGCATCTAACAAGTGCGTGCATTTATCACGTGTTGCACCAAATCATTATCTCAAAGACGACTGTACTGTAAATCCATCTTTTACTTTGGAGGCGTTTGACTTTTCCGTAAAAGTGTCGGCTTGCAAATTGTGCGTAAATTCCAGAGACAAACATTTTCACACATGCAGCCTTGTATGCAAACACGGCAGCGTGGGCAGCGCCAAGTAAAGCTGGTGAGGGTGCACAAAAACCTGACCTGCAGGTTTTGGCTGAACAACAATCACACATTTGATCCATCTAACATCCTGCTACAGCTGTAAACAATGGAAAGAAACAGAGTGACAGTGTACTGTGTGTATCAGACGATAAGCAAATCTGCACATGACGAGGAGGTTTGTGGTTCCTACTGAAAGCTGAGAAGCAAATATTTGCAGCAAACACACATTTGGATTATTTGTCACCTTAGAGGGAAAATAACAGCAACGGCACGTGATGGCATGAGAGACAGGGATCTATTGTGTTTGTAAAATCAACATGCTCTTTGCACACTGGGAATGTGATTGTGGAGCTTTTTGGGTGTGATGTGTGAAGCAAGTGCCAATTTTACAGTGAGTAGAAATGAAAATATTTGTCAGTGTCTAACCTTTCGATTCTGGACTGAAACGGCCCCTTACTCACCCCTCATTTCAGAGAAGCATCATCAGATATTAAAACGAATTTGGTCGTTACGAGATTGTCTATTTGGAACATGGCGGTGCAAAATTATGATGGGCACGGCAGTTCTTTTAGATGTATTGAATCACTAGAATCAGTTCACTAAAAAGATTTGTTCAAAAGATTAGATCCCCTGAATCACCAAATCATTCAACTACTGGAAACCTGCAAATCCAACTTTTAGTTCATGACTTCTGAGACCGGGAGACTGTTGGGACCGTGTTGCTTTGACAAACATAAAGTATATCCCTCAAACGAAAATGAATCCAGAGAGTGTAGTTCACTGACTGATTTGTTCACCATGTGATTCAGGCGTTGGCGCGTGCGGTCCGCCCCTCCCTCACCCGCTGCTTGCCGACCGCTCAACTGAACCGAGAAGCTAACAAATCACTTGAGGAAGTGATTCGGTTCGGTACGTTCACTTAAAAGATTCATTCTTTTGAAGAAACCATTCGCAAACAGCACAACATTTGTGCAAGATGGTGGACATTTATGAAATAGTTTTAAATTTATTTTTAGGCTTTTTTTTCAAAGATATTTAAAAGCAAACAAGATCATCTGCAACTAGACTGACAATTTCTACGTGATGTGATTTTTAACATCTAGATCTGGTTTGTCCACAGGGGGCGCCAAACCACAAACCAAAGTTCCTCACAGGAGCTTTTGGGGTGTAGCTACTTTTATTTGGGTATTTTATTTATTTGCTATGTTTATCTATATTGTTGTTTTATGTTTTTTTTTTATATGTTTTATTGTTTTATAGTTTTTATTGTCTCTGGCTATTTTACTGTGAAGCACTTTGGTTGGCCACCGGCTGTTTTTAAATGTGCTGTAAGAATAAAGCTGACATTGACATTAACTCACACAAAACTGTTTTTTTTTTTAATTAATTCAGGTGTTTAAAAACTAATTTAATCAACTTAAGAATATTATCTTCCATTTTTACCGAGTCCGTTCTACCAGAAGCCGCTAAATACCGCCTACTGTACCTTTAAAAACCAAAACTTTCCCTTTGTTTTCATCCACTGTCCAAAATATCCTGACATTTCGAAGCTCCTGAAATAGATTCTTTCACAAACACCACCACTTTTCCCCCTGATTGGGACTTATAAAGCATTTCTTTCCATCTCTCATTTGTCACAAAAGCAATTACATGACCTCAATCACAAAGAAAGACAAACAAAACTTCGCCTGGCAACAGCTTATTAAACTTGAACGTCTAATTACAGGTGCTGCAGTGTTTGTGCTTGTTTGCTTTTGTGCGTGCAACAAAGCTGCTCCTTTGCTATAACTGGACCGCCTTTATCAGTCATGCCTGCGAGAGGAAATATTCAGTCATGTGAATGCAGGTGCTCAAGCTTGATAACCTGATGTCTTACTATCTGATGATACTGATACCCTCATGCCAACACTCCTGCTCCTTCTACTACTACCCTCCTCCTCCTCCTTCAGCGCTGAAGCTTCTGGCCGTGTTGACTTTAATAAGATCTCCTGTCCGTGCGTGTGTTTGTTGACGGGGGATCAGTTCCCCTGGCAGCGCAGGATTCTTTGAGCTTCTGAAAAGAGCAAAGCTTTTTCCGCCAAATCGAACTGTGTCCGACTTTCTTTGCTATAAATGGTCAAAATTTGACGGAGGTGAGGCTCCCTGACTGGACTACTGTACATTTCCATTTTGGAGCGAGAGTTCAGTGAAATATTGTTGAGGTGGTGTTCAAAGAAGACGACTCCAACTTAAAAAAAATTCACCACACCTGATTTTTTCACCCTTAAATCACCTTTGTAGTGATGTACATCATTCTGATAAGTGATTTATTATCTTGTTCCAAAATGAGAAGAATGAAAAGCATCGCATTTTGCTGCTCCCGCATTTTTAAACATGAACATTGCATCACGATGGCTGCACCAGCATGTCGCATTTCTTCATGCCATCGTGACAAACGCTCCATACCTCCACTCCCTCTGTGAGTAATGCTTTAAATATGAACACTGCAGGTAGGGTTGCAAAGTCACAGTGAATCACCTGTGCGACCTCAGCAGGTGCCAAAGTAAATAGTGGAAAAACTCAAAGATGCTTTCTAGATATCTGGACAAAATCACAGCAGATGAGTAAAAAAAAAGGAGTAAGAACACACCAGAAGGAAAAGAAAAGCTCCATCCCTCCCTGACAAAACTTATTTTAGAAATAAGAGTCTGCTGTTTACGTCAGATCTTGACCTTACGAATGGAAGCCCGAGGAGGGGGGGGGGGGAGTGTTTATGCAGTGACAGCCTATCATTGCCTCAGGCCCCTGAGAGTCATACCAGGGCAAGTCACTGTTTACACAGCCAGAGCCAACCACGTTACAGACCTGTCAGCCCAGGCTCCGCCCCCCCGGGCCTCTTACGCTGCAGGTTGTGGCAGGAGTGAAGCTATAAAGCCGCCCGACAAGCCAAGAGGGAGACAAAGAGGAGAGAGAAACATGAGAGAGGATCCTGCCGCTCTGATCACATCACAAAACATGGCGTTCACCGACTGTATGAAACCCACCGACCTGTCTGCAGAGAAGAAGGGGATCAAGTGAGTTTCTCCTTTTAATCATGACCTTTTAAAAGTAATTATGATCAGACATATTAAAATCATGCTGCAATAAAAAATAACGATTCATTTTGATTCCTTCCAGGAGGAGAAATTGGAGGAACAGGATAGCAATTTTACTGAAGACAAACTCTTCCCATTCGATATTACACCTGATGAAGAACAGATCTTACAGGTGAGGATTATGCTGCAAACTGCTTATTTATACTTATTTGAATATGTAGTCATGTTGCTTTCAATGATTTTTTAATATTCAGAATATGCAGACTGTTTTGAAGCTTCTTTTTGCAAAATTTTGTAGATATTTTTGCAGTTTTGTACATTTCTGACTGTCTAATGTGTAAATTAATAACAAAATTTATGGCACAAATTTAAAAGAAATCACTTAAAATGAAATCTAAGACAAGTCAAACTAACTTTAAACTTTTTGTTTAAACTATAAGTCCTCTACTTTTTCCATGAGTTTTATCTAACAGGATCTGTGCCCTCTCTCTCTCTCTCTCTCTCTCTCTCTCTCTAGGCCGACAGCCGATGACGTGAGCCAGTGGGCGCAGTCACTTGACACACTCCTCAGTCATAAATGTAAGTTTCATTCCCCGCATTATTGCTGTACAATTACATAAAAGAGCCTCAAAGGTCACACGGTTACCGCGCGCCGAGTGATGGCGGTTTTATGGGCCCCAGTAAACAGCGCCCTGTAATGGCTCCTCACTCACTTAGCTCTTCATTAACAGTCGGCTGCATTGTCCGTTAGTTAACACTTCTCCCTCTCTCTTTTCCTTTCCTCAATTAAAGACGGGAAAGCTGCTTTCTGCATCTTCCTGAAGTCGGAATTCTGCGAGGAGAACATCGAGTTTTGGATGGAGTGCGAGGATTACAAGGCCCAGACGTCGCACAAAGAGCTGGCGTCCAGGGCCAAGAGCATTTACGAGCAGTTCATTAAAAACGAAGCGCCCAAGGAGGTGAGAGCTTGCAGATTTTTTTAACGCTAATTTTACAGCAGATATTCTGTGATGGTAAATGCTCACGGCGGCTGTTTCTTTGCTCACAGATTAACCTGGATTACCACACCAAAAACGCCATCGCCCAGAGCCTCCATGAGCCCACCACCACCAGCTTCCTGGCAGCTCAGAGGAAAGTCTACAGCCTGATGGAGAACAACTCGTACCCCAGGTTTATCCACTCAGACCTCTACAGAGAACTGTGCGACGCTGCCGGAGGAGAGGCCAAGCTCATTAAGTCCTAGTCAAACTCGTCCCTCTGAGCCGAAGTCGTTTGTTTACCTCTGGGACTCTGTGAATAGACCGCTCATGATGATCATTCCAGGCGCCGCCTCAGGACCAGAGACCTGAATGCAAATCCTGAGCATTTAAACATCAGGAGCGAGTGAGGAAAATGCCAAAGTGAAGTCATTTTTATTCAGAGAGGGTTCGACGGAGGAGTCGGACACTTCTGCAGGCTGCACGTCTAAACCACAGAGGAGATCACGGTTAAATCCACGTCACAGAGCCATCACCTGCACTTTCTTTACGATTCCAATTCTGTGTTTTTAGCAGACATGCAGCAGACCTACACCATCACAGACACTCTTTACACTCGCTCGGATGGATTTTCCTGTTTACACACCAAGTGCAATCATTATTTATGTAATGTTTTTTCATGTATGATAATGAATATGATGTAAATATTATGTGCTGAATGTAAATTAAAGCTTGGAGCAGCTGGACTGCTCATGAAATAAAACGTGTTGTACACTTGAAAAATGTCTGAGATTTGTTTATTCCTGAATTTATCCTGAAAATGTTTCAATGTCTTTAAGTGTGATTGTTTTCTGACCTTCAGGAACAGCAATGGCATCGAAATACAATTTAAACTTCAAGCTTTTAGAGCAAAACTTCTTATTTTTGAATAAATACTTGCGCGTAAACCCCAAAGAAGGGTTTGCTGACAACTTCTGATAACTCTGCCCACCGTCCAATCAGATTGCTTGTTTGAGGAGCTCATAAATATCACGATATGTTCAGTTTATTTAGTTTTCTCCTGGATTTATTTGGGTGCACTGTGTGTATTTTCCCTTGTGTTCCTGTTCTCCTGTAGTCCAGTCTTGTTAATTTTCAGTTTGTGTTCATCCTTTTTTCCCCTCATGTTCTCTGTTTTATTTTGTAGGAGTTGATTCCTTGGCTGTGTCCAAAATTAATCCCTAACCCCCTAACCACCATATGGGATTTTACTATATAGTTGACTATGTAGTGAACTAAGTTACTGGAGGTTTTGGACACTACATAGCATGTCGCAATGCATGACGGGATGCCCACCACCGGTGAGTGACCATTGGACGGTCACTACATTTGGGAAATTTTGAGTCGCCTATATGGGGCACTGGAATTGATCGCTGAGGTTTCAGACACCCCTCAAAATGGTGCTAACCCCCATGTAGTCACTTAAATAGGGGTTAGGGATCCATTTCAGACACAGCCTTTGTGCTTCTCGTCTGGTTTTACTTCCCTAGTTTTCCCTCCTTCGTTAATCACTAAAGAGTTTCACCTGTGTCTCGTCTGCATCACCTGTTGCTCGTTTCCCAGTGTCTATATAGTCCCATGCTGCGTCCGAATTGCCAAGTAGTAGTCGAAGTAGTATCTAGCATGTCCGAATTGGCCACCGGAGCGAGTAGCATGCTACTTCAGATACTACTTCAGATGCTAGACACGCCCACATTGTAGGTTGGTCTCGGTGCATCCTACGGGCATGCTACTGACCCAAAATGCACCGCGGGCTTCTTCTTCGTCCTCTTAAAATTGTAGAAGCGCATGTGATGCTAGCGCCACCAGCTGCTCTGCCTATTTAAAAGTGTCGCGAACGCCGGCTGGCCACAGCAGCGCGCACCATGTCGGAGCAGCAGCAGCAGGCGGGACCGCAGCAGTACAGATGTAAGTTTCATGTAACTTCACACTCTGTCCTAAAAAATGTGCGGTTGTATCTCTTTGTCATGTCATGGTGTCATATTTGCCCAAGTAATCATTTTATGAGCAAATATGTGTCGACATCATGGAGGTAAAGCTCACTTATTCCATCATTAAACTGCACAGCTGCAGTACTACAGCCAGGCCCGCAGATGAGGGGCTTCAGTTACCACTGTCTGCACGGGCGCAGTACCTACTCTATGCCTGCGGGGGTCGTCTTTCCCCACCGCTCGTCTAGTGTGTCCGAATTGGGCCAACGTTTTTAGTATGTAGGAGTAGGATCTAGCAGTAGCACGTAGCAATAGCATGTAGTATCCGAGCGGGCAGTTCAGACGCAGCTCCTGTCTTCCCCTCTGTACTGGTTGGTTCACTGTGTGTCGATGTGTGCGCATGTCAGCCTGTTCTGTGAGTCCCTCGTCTCCTTGTGATTTTTCCCCCAGTGTCTTTAGTTGGACTGTGACAATAAAGAGGGTAGGAGAGGTCTGAGACTAACAGGATTTTACAGATAAAAAACAGAAATAAAAGTTATTTATTGTGACTTCACTCTCTTTGGATCAAACCTCCAGTTTCCAAACACTGCAGCAACCTTTCGAGACATAAGCTCCCTGGCTTTAAACAGACGCCACAGAGACGCTCTTCAGAAAAACTCTTGAACCTGGTAAACCAGCCTCCACTTTGGAAAAGGACTCGGGATCAGTTTGATGTCTACAGGGCTGCAGCTGAAGAATAACTTTAAGAACTGTCACACAAACAAATCAGAGCGACAAATGAGGTCAAAGTCACTCAACGGTTCAGGAGAGGTAAAATAGGAACAGTAGGTTACTGTACTTGAGAAAAGAAACCACATTAGCCCACTTATGGTTACTCCGAATAGAAAACGCCAAATAAATTAAGATAAGTCAAAAGCTGTATAATCCAAACAACAATAAAACTAAAGAACTCAAGCAACGCAAGAACCAAACAACATGAGCTTAAACCACGAGGGCCATCACGGTCGTATAAAACGTAATAGTAGAAGTAGAGAAAACCGCGGTCTGCTCCCGAGTTTGCTTTTCAACGTGACTCGGGAAAACGTTGCTGAATTAATCGTTTAATCTCTACAATCACATATTTGCATTTGAGTGAAAACACGGAACTGATAACACGGTAAATCTTTGTCTGATGGAGGATGATGGGCTCAGATATTGTTTGTTGTTCTGCTCATAAATGCACGTGAGGCCAAAGACGGACTTTATGAAGACTTGAGTCAACTCTTCTTGTTTCAATGTCTATTCAAGTCAAAGTCAAATGGCTCTACACAGTGTACACACACTAACACCTTTAAATCTAATACCTGACATGTTAGCTAATAATCTTTTTTAAAGATGTAGCAGGGACAGACTCATCCATTCATTCAGTCACGTTTATATCTGAGGTAATTCCAGACTTTACTCTGTTAATCTCCATCAGATCCTTAAAGAAACGTCTCGCTCTTAAGCCGCTAAATACTCCACTTTAGTTGTTAACTTTGTCTGTCTGATGTAATATTGTGTTAAGCAGGTGAGATTACAGAGAGCTTTAACTGAAACAACAGCCGGGTCAGGTGGAAACAATACAGACCAGACAGCAGACGTGCGAAAAAACACGAAGTTAGCGTTACTTTGTCGGGAAACTCCCTGAGAGGAGAGGGACTGCACCGTTAGAGTTTACGCCGCGCTTCTAATGATTTATTTGACTTATTTTATCAGTTTTCAATATTAAAATAATGATCTTAAAACATTACAGGTTGAGTAAACATTGCATAATTAAATTCGCATCATTACGATCAAAATTTATTTTCAAAAAGGGGAGCAAAGCAAACCTGCGTTCTTGATTCACCTTAAAGGTGCAGTGTGTAGTTTTTGTAGCTTTTACAACATAGAATCCAATCTTCACAAGAATGTTTAAATTTGAGTGTAATCGCCTGATTATAAAGATCATTTTGATTTAGTAAACCTAGTCTTAGCTTTTTGTATCTTCCATCTTTCCCTGGCATGTTTCTACAGTAACTCAGAATGGACAAACTTTTAAATTTAGGGGTTTGGAGGTAAAGAAAAAGAAAGTGGTTATTCTTGTGTGTGATAAAATCTGAGTTTATTGGTATTTTTGATGGTAAAATCTTGACAAATAAGGGATCATACTCAGCATGCATTACAGGAGCTTAACCGAGTGAAGGGGTGAGCAAGAGAGTGTTCAATCTAGGATCTGATTTCAAGATGTGTCTCATTATTCCCATGTCTCTGCGCTGTAAGACTCAGTTTTGTAACATTTTTCAAACATTTTCCATCTTGGCTAAACTTTCCTCTGTTTGTTTTTATCCGTCTTTAAAGTTTCTGTAAATTTGACCTAAAACATTTTTTTAAAAATCCAGATATTAAAGTTTTGTGTCTCATTTAGTTTCCACGGGAAGATAAAATGTTGAGGTCATTTGCCATCATATGACAACCGTTCTTCAAACTTTGGGGGCGTGTCCAATCACATTTCCATTGACATCAGTGCATGTGACCTTACAACCTGGAATAAATTATTTGTTTTATTTCACGAACGTTTCCAAAGCTTTAATTAGGACGCTAAACAATAGTTCTGTCAAGTCATAGTGCTGCATTACAGTGGAGCTAAACCCCGCCTCCTCAAACGACAACTACTACGTACCTAAAATAGATGCATAATTGCCTATGATTAGGTCCTGCGGTGGAAAATAGACAACAATAAACACCTAATACCTGAACACACCGACAGCCAGGACTCTGGGTGTAAACGGCAGAATAACTTCCTTTTGTCTAGACTTTTCCTGTAATTTTAATTCCACAGTTACGCCAAAGGAAAATATATTTAAAGTTTCCATGAAGATTTTTATTTTTAAACATTAACAAAGTAGGCGGAGGTCAAAACTCTTTTGGACTGTGCAAACTTTGGCATCCCCTGTGGACAAATGAGTCTGTCCTAACCTCGTCATCTTTTTTTTTTTTCCCTTGTAGAGCACATAAAAGAAACAAAGAATAACCAAACCTACACCAACCCAACCCCTCATTTCCACCGTGTGATCTAAGCAAAACGGAAACATGTATTAAAATACATTAACTTGAAAAAGGCGCAATTTCATAAAAACTTTTTAGATTTTTAAAATCTAAAAACTAAGTTAAATAAAATGAAATTTAGGAAATAAGAAATAAAATGAAGTAAAAACAACAGTAAAAAAATACTAAAATAAGAGCACCAAAATAGCTCAATATAAGACAATCCTGTCATTAAAACTAGAAGGAGATAAAAGCTAAAAAACTTTAAGTTAAGTCAATCATATAAAATTTAGTTAAAAGCGAGATTAAAAAGGTACGTTTCTATGAACTGAAGTGATATCTTCTATCAAAAATCGTAACCTGGTGACTTGTAACTGTCAAACTGTGAATATCTTGCATAGACGAGGTGAAAACAGGGCCGTCTTTTCAGCTGACACCTCCCCCCTTGCACCCTTTTCACAATAACAAATAAAAACCATGAGTCCTGTCCCTGCTGGTCTTTTTTGCTTTTGTATATCAGAAAAAGTCTTTTTCGTCTATGTCATTGACATCCAAAAACTCCTCACAGGACCTTTAAACCATCATATTGAAGTTTTTCCTGCTAATTTACATGCGACAGTACAACATTGCGGTAAATTTTGAGCCTTCCGAGACTCTCACACCTGGGTTAGTTGAATGCAAATGCCATGCAAACGGGTTGTTTTGATAAACAAAACGATGACACATTCACGTGAAGTCTGACGGCATATTTTTAGAGATGATATCTGAGATGTTCTTCTGCACAACAAAAACAGCATTCCTCTTTGTCAGCTGGTTGAGGTAAGCGTCATTTCAACCCGGTTCCTGTGCTCTAACAATGTTTAAAGATGGAAGAGAAAACAGAAAACTGACAGCAGAGAGTCCTCCTCTGTCTGCTCTCTGATACTCGGGTTGTTTCCAGCAGTGAAATCATAGTAGAGGCTGACAGTGTCCAGACGCCCGGACACGGCTCCTGACAGGCTGACAGCTCCTGCTCTCTGCTCAGACCTGTGGCCTGCTGTCTGAGTGTAATGAGATCATCTTTTTACTCCAGCAGCTTTACAGACCCAATGTTCTGCTTTCCCACAGGTTAGAGAAGCAGTGGTGTTCGAGCTCGGGAATGTGTAGAAACTTTACTACTGAGGCTCTCATTTTGCAGTTTTTGAAAATCATATTTAAGCCGTTATAAAAGACAAATCCGATTCTCAAGGGAAAAAAAAAAAGCTCCTCTGTTTGTTCCCATCCTCTCACAGCTGCTCGGTTTGATTCAGATGAAGCAATTTTTAGCACAAAGCCAGACAGAGCTGTTGTTTACATTCTCTTGAGCATAGTTTTGCAGTGAGCAGCACGTTTTTTTTTAGTGGAACGAGTTTTTGGGTAAATACTGCACATGCGTGTCATGTCAAGATACAAGTAAAAGTATTCGGTAGATAAGAGATGCCATAGTTTTAAAAAAATAAAAGCTCAAAGTTGTTTTCAGTCGCGATCAGATGAAACTTTGTACAGACAAAAGGATTCATGATAGCAAGACGTTTAGGTCTGATAATCTAGACTTTTTTACACCGCCTCTGTCATGGCCATATTTGTAGTTTAAAGCTATTTTTAGACAGACAGAACAGAGTTGTGGTTAACTATGTGGACCTTACACCATTTAATATCACGCTTTTAACATTTTTAAAGTTCATTGTGTCCAATAAAAGCCAGACACGAAGCTCGAGTTGAAAACAAGCAAAAGCCATGAAATCTGTGCAGCACATCACTTTTTTTCATGCTTTGTATTGGATCTGTGTTCAATTGCATCCCTGTCAAGTTAAACTGAGCGTGGTGTTAGTTCAGGCAGGCTGCAAACTTTCTGTTTAAACTGCCTCAACTTCGTGCTTCTTCTGCAAACTTTGTAACCCAACTTAAACCCAGCCCCTCCTTTTCTACGCTGACAGTTATATCGTCATTGAGTCCTGTTATGTTCTGCTGCTGCTCTCCCCACCTTGGCTTCTCATGTATGCACATAATATAAGTATGTGGAAGGACGGGAAGCACTTTAAATAGAGCCATACCACCAAAATAACTTAAGCGAACTTTCAGTTTGTCGAATTTAGACAAAACACACTGTCATGATCACATTCTCTACATGCTTTACCTAAAAAAAGTCTCATCCGGCTGACATTAAAAGCTGCACAGCTGACACCTACCCCCTCACTCCAGTTTTGAGCATTAAAAAATTCTATTATAAAAATCATAAATCTGGTTGCTGATGGTTTTGTTTCCTTTTGTATGTCACTAAAATGCACCAATATGAATTTCAGTCTGTTTCATGAACAACCTCATTGGCATTTAATGCATGCTGATAATGATTCTCTGCTAGTTCAAGCAATTTTCTCAGAGAACCAGGTTCCTTTTGGGAATAATGAGATTTTAAGAGTGAGAAGTAGTGTGCAGATTGTATGCTTGTAGGTATAAAAAGCAAAAACACTTTGGTCGGCTTTATCAAAGTCATACACACCTGATGCAGACTTGTTTGATATAAAACTACAAGTACCTGTCATGTTCACACATCATCTCAGTCTGACATTACACAGACTTTGTTGGCAGAGGAAAGTCTGTTCAACGCCAAGCTTCAGCTAATGTGGAAATTTGTGTTCATACATAAATCACTTCTAGTAAATTCTGAGATAAGTAAACATTTTCTTACTGAGTGTTTGGAAAAAGACGCTCTCACTTTGTTATCACATTAACATTATTATTATTCATCCTAACCTCACAGGGGTCGCCAGCATGTTTCGCTTCATAGTTTGTCACAGATGTGGGAGTTTGCCAGTCAAAGGAGAAGTTAGCTGTCCTTGAATCCTCTCTTTCTACAGTGTGTAGAAATAGGGGTGTAGGACAATATCTACCTGTATGATTTCAGGTTAAAGCACACCTTTGCCTCACTTGGGAGGTGATGGTGGCTTTTGAGGACAAGAAGCTCCTGTTGTTTATTTATCATAGGATTTTTGTGTGCATAACTTCATCTATGGCTCTCTCAATATCAGATTTTTACCTCATAGTTTTAAAAAATGGCTTTAAAAAATCACAATCAAAAACTTAGTGATAAAAAAACACAATTGTTCAAATTAAGGAAAGACCAGACGAGGGGGAAACATTACCATTCTAACGAGAGGAGACTAACTCACATTATCACGGTTTTGGAGGGGATTTTATTTTGGCATTTAGGTTGCTTCATTTACAGCTTTAATTTTGAAATATTAAAATCATAACAGCAACAGTTTTTAAGTAAAAATGTTCTGTGTATTTTCACCGCTCATCTTGGTACATTTATTTTAAGATTTGTCTAAATGTCTTTCAGAGCACCGCTACAGCTAACTCGCTATCTGTGCGTCTTCTTCGTCTTACCCTACTTTAAAACTGCTCCTTACTTATGCTGCGTTATAGTCCTACTTGGAAATCGGGATTTCTGGGTCATAAAATTCATCTGGAACGCCCTCCTGAAGTTGGATTTCCGACTTGGAAAGTTGGCCGATCCTCACTAACCCCGACTTGACGACAACGTCGCAATCCGAGATGGCAGCGCGGTGCATCAACAGTAAAGAGTAACAGTGAAATCTTTCGTTATGCATTATTTATTAAAATTTCTGTTTTGTTTTTGTGAAATTAAATAAGTGGTTTATGTTGTACTGCTCAACGTCTAACTGTGAATACGGTGCTACGGTGTTTATATGAGAAAAATACTGTGTTATGCGTTTTTTTTAACAACTGGCATAGCTAACAACAACTAACAACAACTAACAACAACTAACAACAGCTGACAACTGCTAACAACAACTAACAACAGCTGACAACTGCTAACAACAACTGACTATTGTTAATAACAGCTATTAGTAGGCATCCATCTTGGTTTACTAACTTGTTTACTGGAATGCCGTCAACTCGGGTTTAACGTCATTCCCAGGTCTGACATCCAATTTCCGAGGTAACCGAAACGTAGCATGAAAACCAATTTATTAAACAGTCAGTGACCCGGTTGACCTTTAATGTATCAAAACAATTGACATAATGTGTTAGCAAAAGGATAAAAAGAAGTAAATCGAAACATAAAAAACTGTCCCTTTTACAAACAATAGGAAATAACGTCTTTTGTACGACCTTTATTCGTCTGTCAAGGTTTTGTTTGCTTCCTCCTGTCTCTCTGCTGCTCTTCAGTTTTAAATCACTATCAAGGATTTTGATTTTTCTCTAATCTAGTAAGAATTCAGGCCAAGTTAGAGTCTTTTCCTGACATATAAACAGTTTTCAAGTCAAAAAGATGAACAGGAAGGATTACAGGCGGCCTTTTCGCTGCTGTTATTCCTCAAGGACTTTTTCCTTGTCTGGGTAGAACCGAAGCGTTTCCAGGCCTCTGTAGTTCCCCCCTGAGAGACTTCATGTGATAATGAGCTGTACAAATAAACTCGGCTTGACCTTCAAAGCGGGCCTACGCAGCACACATTCCCTTACGCGGCAGTCTTCGGCTATTTTTGAGACTACGATCTCTTTGTAGCGTCTGCATCACGGTTTTATTTGCATGATCCCGGCGGGAAATCGAGGTTATGACATATTTCTGAACAAAGCATGCAAAGTGTAGGTACGAGCATCCTGCAGAGCTGGAATACTGTCACAGTGAATGCTTCTCGTTTGCTCATTCACGTGGCCTCACCTCAGTTCGGATAAGAAACAGACGCACTGTGTTCTCTCTCTCTCTCTGTTTGTCTCTGAGCTGGTAGTAAAACCTGTTGCCATGACGGATCTTGGCAACAGGCCGCTGGGATCAGATCCAACAAGTACTTAAGGTGTGTATGTAAACACTGGAGCCAAAAATAGACAAGGGCCACGTTCTGCTTTGGTCGGCGGAACGCGGGATACGTCACTCTACGCAGGAGTCGAGGCGAACGCCGTGTTCAGGCACAGCCGGCGAGTCAGTGGAGTGTAGAGGTTAATTTATAGACCCGGCGGACCCTGATGTCCTAAACATCAGACTACTTTTACGGGAAGGTGTCCAAGTAGAAAAACAGGTCACTTACCTCCTTCAGACTGATGCACTTGATTGCAGCTTGTCAGCACGCTCAGAATTTAAAGGTTCAATCCGTATTTTAATACATTAAAATTAGGGTTAGGGTTATGAGCAAACACCTAAGTCTAAGTTTAAAGTCACTTTTACTGGTTCGATTTCTGTTTATCCTGTCGTCCTCTGATTTAATTTGATTTCTTGCTTCATTAATAACAGTCATTTACTTACTGTTGTGTTTGTGTGCATGTGGGTTGTGTGGTAAAGCAATTAACGTTGTACTAACATGTCTTGGAAGTACTTTATAAATACAGTGAGATAGATAAATGACAGTTTTACTGCGTTTTGGAGCAGAATGTGTGTTCGTCATTTCATGTAATGTGATTCAGGTGTGTTAAAGCCATTTTCGGGGCCATTGCTTCTCTACGCACTTTCTATCTTTCTCAGGGTTTCCAGTACTAATGCTCCGTCATGGCACTCTGCGGCTCGTACAGACGCACATTATGGCCAAACTTAAAGTTAAACCTTCCCACGGCCGTATGTGATGCTAAAGGAAACTGCTGCATGTGACGTAACACAAGACCTTTAACCAGGGGAGAACCAGGGGAGTGGGGCTCTAATCCCGAGAAACCAAAATTACATAATCGGTTATTGTTTTAACCTACGCTGAGATGTTTTCCCTAACCTTTAACAAAGTTGTTTTCTTTGCCTAAACCTCCACAAAGGAAGGCGTTTGATGGCAACCACTTGTAAGATAGGAAGAAAACAGCAACATCATGAGCATTTAAATGTCACACCACAGAGTGACTTAGGTGTGTGTGTGAGAGAGAGAGGCAAACAGGATATCATAGAGGATCAGCATTTAAGGATCAGGAATGAGGATCTGTTGAATTAAATCTTTGTTTACCAGCTGTACTTTCTTGCGTTCAGTTTGTTTGTGTGAAAGTTTAACATCCTGAATATTCATTATTTCTGTTTGATCAGGGAAGTTGTTCCATGCTAGTATTTTTAAGTCAATTTGCTATGTACAATATCGACACCTGAACTCGTGGGAGGAGTCTTCCCTGATGTAATTTGCATTTTATAATTACGTCAGCTTCATTTGATCAAACTAGACAGTTTAAAGGTCAATCTTAAATGTGGGGTTCCACAGGGTTCGATTCTAGGTCAACTGTTCTTTTTGATTTACATTACATTACTGTAAATACAATACTGAATACTATTGCTATGCTGACGACACTCATCTACGTGTCCCACTAAAATCCAGCAGTACTGACGTGTCTTAAACATTGTCTCTTCCTCATGGCTAACAACATTCCTGAGCTGAAATGACTCTAAGGCTGGTTTTATTAGGAAAGGCCCTCCAACTCCAACAATGACATGAACCACTTTAGGTCTAATTTGAGCCCACAATCTCAAAGAGGAAGACAGAAACCTTAGAGAGGTTCTTGACTCAAGCCTTTCTTTCGATACTCAAGTTTCAAAAGTTGTGCAGTCTTGTTTCTACCATCTAAGACTCAATTCCCACTTTCAGAGGTCTGCAGGTCATCTGTGCATTTATGTCCAAAATAAATTACTGTAACGCTCTGTAATCTAAAATTATTCACAAATTTCTTTTTCTACGTAAAGCTGCTAAACTTTTAACTCATTTTACTCAGAAGTGGACTCATCATTCCTATTCTTGCTGACCTCGGTCAATTATAAAATTGATTTTATGATCTTATTGCTTGTTTTTGAAGGGCTGCCTGGATCCTCCTGTAATTCTGCACACACATTTTTAACATTATGTTATAAAATGTCCACTATTTACCCTTTAAATACAAGTTTAATTGTTTTTTAATGTACTGTATGTAATACCTGGCTTTGACCAGCAGAGGGAGTCAAAGCTCTACCTATTGAGTGTATTTGCAGCACATCAGTGAAGACTTTATGCATAAGAAAGAACGCTTCTCTGAGGTTTTTGAATCTGTCCATGAAAACATAATTTCACAAACATCTAAACATTTTATTATGAAAATAAGACAGAACATTATTTAAGCACGAGTTTCCTTCTATCATGCATTAGAGCAGACGATCACACACACACGCACACACAAATGTCGAGAGCTTTTTGTGGGGCAGTCTCTCTCTGCTGCACCTGCAGCACAGTTCTTAATGTGTGGATAGCTCACCGGACGCCACAGTGAAGAAGTGCTGCAGACCATCGGCGGTCATTAATATGAAAATGACTGATGATGAATCTGTATGTGGCTCAGTGATGAAAGAGGGACTGTGTATATGTGTGTGTGTGTGCGTCTGTGTGTGTGTGTGTTATTTTAGGCTTCTCTGTTCACTTGGCTTCCTGGGCTTTTTTGGCACTCTGTTTCTCCTTCGCCTGGAAAGAAAAACATTTATTTCAATTAATACTTGCAATCTACAAAGTACTGCAACTGTAGTTTAAAAAAACACCTAGAGCTTATGTTTGCCCCCTAGTGGACAAATTTAACACTGTAATTCCACTTCTCTTATTAGCTACTTAAATTAAAAGCTCAGAGAACTTCATGTTTAAAGCAGAACCAGACAAGACGTCACGTATATTCGTGATCCTCAGAGTTGTGCTACAGCGGAGAAAACATAACAAGATGCTCTATTTCTTCGCCTGGCAGCTCAAACAATGTTTTGCAGAGAAAGATGGGAGTTCACTCCGAGTGCATGCAAAATCCTGCTCACTAATTGGCTGTTGTTGCTCTATCCCCATCGTGACAGGTTATTTCATCTATCCATGTCCGGTTAATGATGTCCAAATTTGACAGTTAAAAGTGTTTACATCTCCTAAACCTTCCAGTACGAATAAAGCACCCCCGGCCTAGCCTCACCTAACCTATCGAGATCGTGTTATTTCTGCTGTCATGTGTGCCGGGAGTGCGCACGCTTGTGAGAAATGACAGGATGAAGAATAAAATACCTTCTCCACCAAGGGTATTAACTGCTGGTACTCCGCCAACGTCTTCAGCAGCTCCATGATGAAAGGAAGGTAGTTGTGCTTTCGTCGAATGTTTTCAATCTGCGAGAAAATGGAGGAAACCGACCATTGAGCGGAAAGTGGGAATGACTGATGGGTCCAATAAATTAAAAAAAAAAAAAAAAACTTCAATGGTTGAATCCAGGCGGCTGGAAACACTGCAGTAAACTCCACCTGTATCAAGTGTTTACGGCTTTGTTACAAAGGCTTTTCCACACATAGAAATAAAACACCAGCTGTGGATTTATGAGCCAAACATAAACGCCTCGTGAAAGATTAGTGCTGTCGTTAAAGAGAAACGCACCTTATATCTTTTAAGTTTCTGGTTTTCCTCTTCAATTAGGAGCTGGTACTTGGCGATCTCGGACTGGATGGAGCTGAGGAAGGTGCTGCTCTGATCCGTGTCCATCGGTTCATCCTGGGAGAAGAAAAAGAAGAAGAGGAAAACTGTCATATAAAAAAACACCTTTTAGGTTTTTTTTTTTGCACATTTTGACTTAAAATCAAACGTTGATGTTGTCGCTGTTTGAGAGTAAAACTGCTGTGTTAGTGTTGATTTGTGACCGACAACAACGTAGACCAACTCCACTCTTGCTCCTGTGTTTGTGTTCAGATCAGCTTCTGCCTTTTCCTGTCGGCGCTGCAGGGATTTGCATTTCTGTGAACGCCGTATCTATCTTCTTTGGACTGATGGCTGGGCTGTCTTTAAGTCAGAGATGATTAAAAGAAGCAGGCTGTGGCTGTGACTCGTGATTGAAGCAGCGACTTCCACTCCTCACACGAAAACACTTCATTTCTGGCAAATTCTTCAAAATAAAAGTCCTGTGAAGTTGTGAAATACCTTCAAACTGAAACAGCCACGTTAGGGTTTGGCATGAGCTCGAACAGGTCAATTAAAAAAGCTAATTAATTTGCGTTATTGTAACGATGTTTTGATTAGTTGGACTTGTGAAAGGTCTGTGACGATGCTCTACAAGTGTGAGTCTAATTAGAGACAAATATTAAAGATTACAGTGTTCATCAAAAGGAGCTAATTGAACATGTTTGAGGTTTTTTTTATGTCCTGAGAAGATCAACCTTAAATGTTGTTAAACACTGACCTCCAGTGGTTGAATGTTTTACTCTGCTGCAGTGCTGCAGATGTGTGTTAAAGGTGTTACACTGATACCTCAGCACCTCTGTGAGTTCGTTCCCTCATACGGTGAAAAAGGTCTTTAATTTGGGGCAACATTACAGCCTGAATCAGGTGCAAAGGGGTCAAAGTGAGTCTCTGTCTGAGCAGATCACATTTCAATCTGGTTTCTCTGCAGCGAATTCATCCAAACCATCCATTTCTCTGCGATCATGTGTGGTGCATTAAACTCCAAACCACAAACACAAACCACAAACATCAGCGTGTCAGTCGTGCTGCAAACAAAGCGCGGCTCTCTTCCTCTCCCCTGTGTGAACACGAGCGCAGTTAAGATCTCCAACTCTTGAAAGCTGACAGCCGATGAATTTCAGATGTAGCCTCCGCAGGTGGAAAGTGAAAGAATGCATTATTCTTTTTCATGTCTGCTCCGGATTCAGCTCTCTCTCTCTCTCTGCTGCCACTCACCTCAGTGAGCTGGGTCTGAAGCTCTGCGATTTTTCTCTCGTATATCATCTTTCTGTCTGACACGATGGCCATTAGGTTGAATCGGATCTCTCCTTCACTGTACCTGAGCGGAGGGAAACAATAGAGCTTTACAAAGTATAAAATTGATACACCGACAGGATGAGAGGCTGTCAGAAAAATCAAAGTATCACAGGTCGAAGACTTTATTTTCACCCTCTATATCAAAAACTGAGCAATGGAAATGAACAGAATTACAGAAATAAAAGGCTGTAAAGCTGATCGAGAGGAGTGATTTTTATACTCTAAGACAGAATATGTTATATTCTTATATTTTAAGAAAAGTCAAAGTATGGTTTAGATTTCAGGTTTCATTCAATTGACTTTAATGTACGTTCATCTAAATGGAGCAAAACATGAAGAAATACACCCGAATTTCTTAACGCCAATCTCAGATGAGCTGATTCAGACATTCAATCATTTCACCCCGATCATTCAGACTGATCAGCTGTCAGAAACAGCGCAAATGGAACCTGTAAGCTACAAGATGCCTGAGATTTCCCTCAATCTGGAGGGGCAGACAGATCTATCTTTGTTTCTTTGTTTTTAGATTTTAACCTAATCCTTCAGTGTTTCCTTCTCTTGAGTTTTAAAATGACGTTTCCTCAGTGCGCACACTCCGGAATCGATCGTGGGGTGGGAATGAGGGGTTGGGTTGGGGTAGATTTGGGTATTCTTTGATTCTTTTTTCTGTGTAAAGCACTTTTTGCTACATGTTGTGTATGAAAAGTGCGATAAAAATAAAGACTGACTGACTGACTGACACAGGGGTAAAGCGACGTTTTGGCGGTAGCAGTTAAACTGCGTTCAATAACACTAAAGTGATACAGCAGCTTAGATCTTAACACACAACAGAGAACTCCTAGTTTCACTGAGGCGACTCAGCAGGCACTGATGGAGAAGACTGCTTTTATGAGACTGCAACTGCAGCTGATAAGACCTCCGCCCTAACGGCACTGAAACACGTTCTTTCTGGAGATCAGGAGATAAAAGGACTCGAGTAAAGGCTGTAGAGCGAGGAGGCCTCAGCCGGGTTCAAAGTGATCCACCGTACGTAATGTATGATGTTAGAGGGCTGAGATATGTCAGTTTTGCTTCATAATCTACCAATGATGATGATGATTTATAACGTAAACAGAGCAGACTCTGAAAGAGGATCTAAAAAATTAAAAAAGGTGATCTAGACACCTTGATTCAGAAACCTCGATTTGGTCTTCAACAGAGCCCTGAGGGTTTTCAGAGGGTCGTGGAGTCAGACCTTTGAAGACAACATGCACAACTTCACCTCCAGCACTGTTTACTATCTGCTGGATTTCAGTGCAGAGGACCCAGAGGATAGCTAGGTCCAGTTCCTGTGCTCTTGAATAACAGATATCTAAGGATACTCACTTCTGTATCCTTTTCTCAATCACTGGGCGGACTGCACTGATCCAGTCGTCCTGGTTACAAGCACCTGCAGAAAAACAAAGCCAGAATTAACAACACAGCAGATGTCCGAGAACACGGCAACAAAGGTCACACTCCACATCCCCTTAAGTGGACGGTTTTGCAGACAGTTTTAGAGGGTAATGGGCTGTGGCCAGTTTTACAAAATTTCAGCTGTGCACAGCAGGACTTCAGACTCACAGCAATGAGGGAACAATAACAAATACTGGTTTCCAGCTTACCCAGGTCAATCGGTCCCTCTCGGAGTCCGTCCAGCTCATATAGTCGGCCGTTTACAGGAACATAACTGACAAAGTGAAAGGCGTCCTCGTCCTTCGCTGATGATTTTGTATCAAATTCAAACATTTGCTGTCTGCAAAGAGAGAAACGCAGAATATCAGAGTCTAAATCAGAACTTATTTACATGTATTTACTTGAAAAGGAAGACATCAGTGTTTAATCAGTGAGCAGCCCCGAGTCAGGAGGCTGATCTTCACTCTGATCAAGAAATCAAGTAAATATCAGCGGGGAAATATCTTGTTTTTTAAGCTGTTAACTGATGGACAGAAGCTGGAAATTTTTTGGAGTGACCACCGGATGAACTCGTCTCACATTAGTCTGATTTTCGAAAAGCAGACCGGTGCATTACGGGGCCAAAAACCTCTCTCCGGGGTTGGAGCGAGGAGCTAAAAATAACGTGAAGCCAATCAAACGGAGCCTCTCCAGCTGGATGTGATATGAGCGGGAGCTTACCTGGCAAAGCTGTTGTGAACTTGTCGGATCACTTCAGAGTTGCTAAGAGCCAAACCTTTCATCTGAGGAGGGAGAGAGGAGATTAGGATTATAATGCTGACTGTGTAACCCTGATTTTAGAAGATGCAGCAGGGTTAGAGAGGGCGTGTGGTACAAAATATACATTTCCTTTTCAGGTAACAACTCGTGACTTGACTATAACTCTCTCTTGATAAGAGTTACAGACTTTTAAATACACTGAATTTCTAAACGAACTCTAGAAAGGTAAATAAAGTCTCTCTCTGTTTGTTAAAAAAGGAGGCGGGAATCATGAAGTCAGTCCAGTCTGGTTCCTTGGAGTATTTTTGGGGCAGAGATCTGAGTCATCATGAAGGTACGGAGAAAAAACTGTCCGAGTTAAAGATGGAAAAAGAAAATTACTCGAGCTAAGGGCGTAATAAATTACCGCTCGCAGAAGGGGAGCAGCTCCCGCACTATTTTTAGCCAAAGTACTGAATAATTCATCACTCATTTCAGTTCGGAGGAAAAATACTAGCGTCACTTCAGAGAAAGGGACTTCCATTTTTTTGGCACGACATGTATGGAAACAAAAAAATTAATCAGCGAGTTAAATCCTGAGCAAACGCACATGACTGTAAAAGAAACGGGCCAAAGCTGAAATTCTTGGGATTCCAGGGAAAAATCAGGAACTTACAGCAGCATCGAAACTCTGTGAGAACTCTCTGAACTCTGTCAGTGTGTCGCCCAGGAGCATGTCCGAATGGGAGCAGTTGAGAAGAACGCTGACTATCGCCTGGGTGGCACAGGCGTTATTAATGACCTGAAAACACAAGAGGAAAAAAATAAAACAACCATGAATGATCAGGGCCACATAACAAAACCTTTTATGGATGCATAACGCTGCTCGTGGAATAATCAGGTTAAAAATTAAAACATGGACATAGTGCTTTTGCCCCATGTTTGAAGAGTAAGAGACTTTAACAGTGAAAATCCAACTTAAGGATGAAGATGGATAAATTCTAAGTGAGATCAAATATGTTCATATGATCAAATAAATAAGAGGCTTTTTCAGTCGAACAAACGCCTAAAAAGAAAATACTCTGGACTAAGTGTGAGTGAAACTCAAAGCCAGAGCCTTGAACTTTGTTTTAAAAACTAATGAACCGTCTGGTTTTTGTTAAAAATGAAATTTAATGAATAAAAAGAAACAGTTATCTATTTTTTAATACACCAAAAGCTGTGTTTAAATTTTAAACACAAAGAGACGCCGAGCTCTTTGTGAGGGTGAGGAGAAGCTGGTGTGAGCCGTGTGCTAATGTAATGAGCCCACAGTTAGGAGGTAAAACCGTTCATTATTCAATTCACGATCTAATTTGGCTGAGCAGCTCTGCACCATGAGATAATGTCTCTGAATACCACACGTGCTTTTTAATTGTTCTGATCAGTGATGACAGAATCTGACGCACCAAATAGAAAACTTTTAATTCAAGTTGAACTGGAAACAAACATGCCGAATCTTGTTTTTTGGATTTCACTCCCTTTGGATTTATCAGCCAAAAAGCCGGCTGGTTGTCATCTGAATTTTTACCACTTTAATACAAGAGGAGTCCAAAAAGACGACATCTATTGGACAAGTGAACGTCAGCGGCATCTGGATCCACCTGATCACAGCAGAGCACTCAAAGCTGTTTTACATTTTTTATCCGGCGATCCAAATTGCTGTCACAGTCGGCAGGCAGCAGCAGATGCTGACGCCGCCGCAGTAATAGCACCTCCACCGTGAGAAGTTATGGACTGTTTAATTACATAAAAACTGAACACAATTAAATATAGTTTGATATTGTCACAAGAGAACATGTAACAGAAGCTAATCTTTTGGTCACATTCACCAGAAGAATTTGCAGAAGCAGACAGAGGGTTCATTTCAGTGGTTTTGCACTGTAATATTAAATGTTTTGTGTTTATTTTTTCCTAAAAACATACCTGCTTTGCAAAAAAGATATGGTCCAGCCTTGAATCCTGGACAATTGATCCTGCTGGCTCTTCACCAGGCTGCCACTTGAAGAGGAAAATCAACCCATGAACCGGTCTGCAAGGAAACACAGAGATAACACAGATATAAGATAACTGTCTGTCTTAATATAAAAAACTATTTCTCTGGAAAAAAAAGATGAGGCTAGAACAAAAGGTCAACAAGAATAAATGCAAGCAAGAGAAATAGAGGCAAGTCTTGAAAGGCAGTTTAAGCGATGAGAAGAATAAATTAAAAATATAAATTAAAGCAACAAAAGAAAATAAAGAAAGTGAGAAAAAACAACTTATTACATTTCAGGATGACTATTAAATATATAAAAATAAATTAGAAAAACAACAGAGGTTATAAGGAATCAGACATTGGAGGAGATGCAGACCTTTTGAGCAGATTAATAAACAGAGAGATGTGATCGTCTTTAAAAAAGGACCGAATCATGATGAATGAAAGACTGAAAGACTGGGTCTGAGCAGCTGCTGTTCTTTAGAGATGTTCCCCGTCTAGAGTGGTTGGAACCCAGGAAATGTAGTCTTGGAGGGAAACTGTTACTGGGTCATAAGTGAGTAAGAATTGTTGACATGTGAGGGTAGTAGGTGGTCTGATCTAAGAGTGAGCTACTGGACCTCAAACTGCTGTACAGTTGTTGCTGGTTCTGATAGAAAGGTGTCAGACTGAGTGCAGTGCTGTCAGCTTCACCTGTTTAAGTGCTACGGTTGCGTGTCACTGCAGCCTGCAGTTGTTTGCTACTTGGTTCTAATTCAGCACATGATTAGTTCAGCGCAAAGCAGACGTGAGGCAACTCTCCTTTTCATTGGCTATTCGTGTAGTCTACCAAAACATGGCAGAATGACGACTATTGAAAAGGATACGGACCATGTTTTATATTGATATAGAGGGAAATTAACTTTAGATATATATATATCATTATCGTTTTATTGCCCAGCCCTAACCTGGAGTATAACAACAAGCTCAATGTGCTGACTTGGTCTCCAGGTTCCTCATATCTCTGTCCAACTGAGCATCTGAGGCCCCTCCACCTCTCACCCTCCAGGACCCTGATTCCACACAATACCTGTCAGGTGGTCATGATGTTATAACTGATGATAGTGTGGACTGAGCTGCATGTGTGAACATACTTCAAGTTATCAAAGTTCTCCGGCTCCATACTCCAGATCTCTTCAACCTGAGCACCTTTACAACCTGAAAAACACAAAAACAGAGTTCACAGATTTAACATTAAGAACAACTACGGTGGGTTACATTTATAAAAATACACGGACATAACCAATAACATCACTTTATTATTGCAGATAAACTGATCAGCTGTTATCAATCCCTCACGAGCCTTTGACTTCACGCGCTGTTGTTTTGAACGCTGACTAATGCTAGCTAGTTAGCTTACCTAATTACCTCACTCTCTTCTTACAGTGTTTACCGTTTTCATGGCTATTATTAATGCAAATCTCATATTCTATTTTGCTGCTATTATTTCGACATCCCTCCTCTTTCTTGCTGTAGCTTTTCTGTAAAAAGGTAGAAGATAAGATTCGCTTTCTGGTACCCTGCATGCTAGCACGATCTAATAGCCACGTTACGCTGCAGCATCACAAAGCTAGCCAAACAGTGACTCACCGAAGCCTTTAATCAGCTCCGTGAACACGCCGGGGTCACTTTCCATCAGACACCACTCTCCTGCACTTCCAGCCATTTTTAATAACGTTTAATTTAACCGTCTGTGCGCATAAACAAGGCGAAAATATCCGAGCTTAGCCGTGCTGCAGTCGCTGCTACTCAAGCTAATTTCACCGAGGCGCTGCAGTGACCTCACAGACGATGCGTTCAGTTGATGTCGGAATAGTCGGAAATATTGGTTTCTATCTGAGAAAAATAAACTATATGTTTTTTTTCTCAAGTTAGAGAAATTTAAAGTCATATTACACGGGAATTCAGGAAAACAAACAAGCTGTTTTTGGCCTTGTGACTCAACTAATTCACTCAGACGTCCCACTTGGCATATTTTTTGGCACATTAGAAATTTGTGTTACGGTAATTGTAGGTTCGGTCGGTCAAACCTCGTGTTGAGGGACTGAGATAAGCTCGTGAAAATGTAGGATAATTAAAATTACGATTCGTAGCTGTTTTAAATGGATTTACAACTCCTAAAATAACTTAAATTGGATAAACAAACGTAGAAGTTGGAAATTTCGAGTATCGACTTAATACGGGAATGCAGCGCAATGTATTCGTCGAGGTACGCGCGATTTAAATCCCAGCGGACACCGTAGATCGACAAAACATACTCCTCAAAATAAAGTAACAAACTCAACGTATTCATTCATTCACATGGAAATGTATTTGTGTTTATAGCTTTGCAAAGGCGAATCTAAAATTAGGTTCTCAATAACTGAAGACTGACTTTACTACACAACTAAGACGTGTTTAGGCTCCAATTATCCGCCCTCGTATGAGGAGAGTAACTACAAATGAAACACTCCTTTGTTTAAACTCAAAATAAATGCAGACAAGTTGTTATTCGTCCTTCATTCATGTTTAATAATTGCAAATTTACATTCAAGGCATCAAGAAAACAAGAGTGTCTGTGGTTTTAATACAAATACCGGTTCATAAACAGACTAATGACCCTAATCAGCATCATAACACATAAATGTCATCTATTCGACAACAATAAGCTGAGTAATACTGGAGAAAAGTGGAGACAAATAACTTGTTACAATCTGACAAAAAGTCCACCGTGTGAAAATAAAAGCACATTAAAAAAATATCTCCACTTTTAAATTAAGAGTCCGAGCAAACTTCTTAATACGATGTAATATTCACATAAGCAGCACCATAAAGCGTGCTTGTATAAAAATCTTCAGTCTTTTACGTCTTAAAAGAGGTAACTGTTGAAATGTCATGACACAATAATGCTGACAGACGGTATCATGTAAAACAGTTCAACAAAATATTTCAAAAAGTACATGAGTGAGACTTTAATAACAGTTCTGTACATCATCTATGAGATATGTTGATCCAAACATCAAGTGTCCAACGCTGTTTGAGTAATAAATAAAGTTAAACTGAAGATGTGTAAAAGCTGGAGAGTAAAATCGTAAATACATTTGATAAATAACGGATTGATAAAAACGACGAGAACGGTTAGTCATTTAGAGGACTCCGACTGTCCGCTGCCAGAGCCCTCAGAGCCGCTCCCAGCACAGCAGGGGGTGCACTGTTCGATCAGGGGCAGCAGCTTCCCCTGCTGATGGAGCTGCTTGGTGTCCGAGCCGCCTCCTATGCAGTTCCCGTTAATGAAGACTCTTGGCACCTGAAAAAAGGAGTCACATCAGAACATGAGCACCGTGTGAAAAAGTCTGGAAGACAATTTTTTTATATATCAAAATAAATTCCTTCATCAGAGGAGTCATTCTTTGAAAAGAGTATTTGAGGGTCAGGGTGGATAAGTATTCCCATATTTCTATTGTAACAGATTCACAGATGGTCACAGCTTTAAAATACTCTGCTTTGTCACTGATCATCTGGAAGTTGAACCCCTGACATCTTCCAACTTTGATTTCTCATAATTGGAGCAACTTGTGCAGCTGAAACAGTCGCCCCCTGCTGGCCATTGAAAAGAATGCAGGTTCAACAGTTGTGAACCTTTAACATCTGCAAACAGCAACTCTCTACCTACCTTTACATCCAGCCATAAAACTGCAAAAGCTTGTTTTAAGACATCTCTATTATTTTTTCGATTGCTGACTGATGTGACATGAATGCTGCTAGATATTAAAATAATGATGAAATTGTGTTTACATGTTTTTTTTTTTAACTATTGTGTCCTTCAGTTTGTGATTTGCTCATCTCTTTTGTCTGTTTGTTAAAGGGGAAAAAAAACTGATGCAGAAAAAAAATCTGTCAAATATGCACATTTAAAGTCCTTTCAAAAAGACACTGAACTCTAAACTCTTTATCCCAAAATATAACAGCAGACTCTCACCGTCCTGGCCCCCGTCATCTGAGCCAAGGCCTCTTGCAGTCTCCTCCCATCATTGTGCTCGTCCAGCTCGACAACTTTGTAGGTCGCCCCAATTTCATTGAAGACATTCTTGGCCATTTTGCAATAAGGACAGGTGGTCTTAGAAAATATCACCACGCAGTTCTGAGACACCATGTCCTGAAAGATCAAGATAAATCTGATTTATGTAAGCATCAGTACACAGCTTTGAAAAAAAAGGGCTGCATGTGACAGGGCTAAAGTGTGTTTCTGATGTAAGGTGAGACGAACCTTGACTTCGCCTTTTTACAGCATTTTTTATGGTTAATTTTTAGTCCATGAGTGAAGTCTGGACTGTGCTGCATTTACCCTCTATTAGAAACTGCTCAGTCTAAGCTAAGAGAGGGACCTAAAGAGCATTAGTGTCCCGAAATTTAAAGAAGGTACGTACCTGAACATACTGTACACATGATGTGCCGGACAGACCCGCAGATGTCGAGGATGTAAAATTTCCCATTCTGAAACAACAAAGCAAAAAATGTCAAAAACTCGCCTCTTAAGACAAACTGACTAATTTTAAAAGGTTAAAATCTGCTGGAGTTTAAGAGATGTACACTGCAGGGATTATCACAACCGTCCACAGTCATGTAACAACCTTAAAAACGGAAGGACGTTTCTGGAAGCGACAAATTTAAGACTTATAATTATTAGCATAACATGTAACAGAAGGAGTCTCACACTACAAATATCCATTGTTACAGATCTATTTCTTCCTTTTGTGCCAAGTCTGAAATTGTGTTTTCTAGCGGTAACACCTGATCTACAATGGAGTGAGGTCCATGTGCTAAGTAATCCAGGATTACTAGTACAAATGCCCTTCCGCAGTCACTGGTGATCAGCTCAGGTTGTGTGTTGGTGGGAGAAAACGCTATTTATACTTCCTGTTGTTTTAAGACAGCACAATGACGTGACAATAAAAGCCTATTACAATAAAAAAACATAACTAAAAACAAGATCAACTAAATGATCTTTTAAGTAAAGGTTTAACAAAAAAGTATAATTGACTGAAACTGTATTGTGTGAAAAACAGAATACAATTACGTTTTGAGCTGTCATTTTTGTCTGTTTATTTCAGACATATTATTGTAAATGTAAACTAATGAGTAGTATACTTTTTTTTTTTTTTTTTACTAAAAACTGCTTTTTAAATCGCATTAGGTTTAAGTCAAAAGAAAAACAAAAATTAAAACTAAACCACCCAAACTATCATCACGAAAAAAATAAGTTTAACCTGATTAAAACAAAGCTTCAATGAAACAAAAACAAACCTATGATATTTACAAAATATTTCAACTGGATACTTCGAGGGGGAAAAAAAGTGTGAAATGTTTGTCGATTGTTAAGAAAAAGCTCTGAATAACTTCGGTTCTTACAACTACCAGTTCCTGTGTCAATTACTCGTCACTTTTCTCGTGAAATATAGCATGTGGGTTACGTTATCTAACACCGGCTATTACGAGCTTTCCAACAATAAAGATTAAAATTTCTATAAAACAAAATATTATTCTTGAATAACATCAACGCCGAATTTATCTTGTGGGGATAATAATATGAAATGGCTATGATTGACATGATTTTTTTACATTTAAGACACTTAAAATGGATTTTACATTGATCCGTAAGTATTTTGTACGAGATTTTGTTCTATCTGGCAAGCCTGAATGAGCACGCGGCACTGAGTGAAATCTAATGGCAGATCACTACATTTCTTAGCACCAAACAATCCCAAGCCCAGGTACATGTTTTAAACGCTGACGGAACTTGTCTGTGGGTGTTAGTATTTCTAAAATGATCTCTGACTGATTTTATAAAACAAGCTCGTTTAACGACGATAGTAGTCAAGCTAGCGGGAGTGACCTTCGGCAGCCGGTCCATGCCAGCCTGTGGAGACATCCTGCCCGAGCAAACATGGTGAAAAAACAATAGAAAACCAAAAAATAATCGAGCTGCAGGCCAAGGTTAATCATGCGGTTAGAGAACAAACAGATCTGGAGCCACACACCAACCCTGGCTGTTACTGTACAACCACTTTCCCCCCCTGACATGCACTGTTTATGTATGCAGCCTACCTCACTGTGACCGCAGGAAGTAGTTCCTGACGCAAAGTGACGCACGACGCAATTTAAAACGTAACGCCCTGACGTCAACCACACAAACTCCAATGTTCTTCAACACACAATAAACAAGTCAAGGTGAGTGATTATCAGTGCTGATTTACTTCAAACTTATTCACAGATAAAAATGCGCCTCTTAATAAATTATTAGAGGCTTTCTTTTGATTATTGACTCAATAATTGGCTTTTTTTTAACAGTGTCGACACTTGTCAGTCATGTGATATAGTGAAGGGAATGAGCATGCAGCAAACAAACTATGAGTGATTGTGGGGACAAAAATGATGTTTCTGGTGAAGCAGTGGTTCATCTAATATCAGATGTGCTGCGCATTTAAACACAGAGTCCAGGAATCAAAACAGTCATCATTTTTATATTAATATCATAGTTCAAAGAACTCATTTTCACTCACATGTCTTGTCTCTTTGTCTGCCTGCAGTGATTTGGAGGGAAAAGACAAAGAGGGTGGAGTTTAATAGACTTGGTGGGAGTGGTCCAGGATGGAGTGGCAGGTAATGACAGACAGGTGATTTAACAGTATATTAGTCTGTTAGTCCAGCGAAACTCACACACTCTGTAAGAGTTTTAAGCTTTTAGTAGTGAGTCTAATTAGCAGTGTACATAAGCAAATTTTTGAGACAGAATTTTGTGCGTCAGCATTTAGATAACAGACTCAATATGTAATTATTTGACATTATTCTTAATAGTCGTAGTAGTGGTGTGTGTGTGTTTTTACATAAAAAACTACTTTCAACCTAAAGTATGTATTTAATAATGTTCCAAATATTCTAATATGTTATTTAAAAATTGAATGAAATGTCCTCAGTGGAAAAAAATCATTTCACCAGCTAATGTTGTTTGTTTTGAGTCATTGGCTGTGTCTGAAATGGATCCCTAACCCCTATATAGGCGACTATATGGGGGTTAGCGCCATTTTGAGGGGTGTCCGAAACCCGAGTGATCAATTCCAATGCCCCGTATAGGCGAATCAAAATTTCCCATAGAGCATTGCAAAATGTAGTGACCATCCGATGGTCACTCACCGGTGGTGGGCGTCCCGTCATACATTGCGTCTCCAGTGGCAATTTAAAGATGGAGAAGCTACTCGCTGTTCAATCGAATGTCTGAAACCTCAGATGATTGAGCTCACTACATAGTCAGCTATACAGAGAAACCCCATATGGGGGTTAAGGATTGAGTGATTCATTTCAGACACAGCCATTGCAGACTTACTCCCACCTACCCTATATGGTGTTACATGCAAGTTATGTATGAGTTTGATGTTAGAGACCAGACTGTAATCGGACTTCGATCAATTTACAAGAGGTGGGTCTTCAGTCTTCTTGCAAACAGTTGCCGTGTGCCCACCTGTCAGTCAAGAGAGCTGGCCTGATTCGCCAAACTTGTTGCCTTAATACCTTTGAAATGAATGTCTAACCAAAAATTTACACCTTGTTCAGTGGGTGCTGTGGATACTAGAGCTGATGAGACCGAAACTATTTTTGAACCAGGCTGTAAATGTTCTTATTTTTGCTCATTTTATGAACAAGTGTGTATGTGGTTTCTGGTGCCACTGCAGACAGCTTCAAGTGGACACTCAGTGAACTGCAGCTTGGATATGACCCGCCTTTTTAGGTAATATAACAGGCTTAGATCAGTCCTCATGCAGACAACTCCTTTGCAACAAAATTGATGTCCATTTGGGTAATTGTTGAACCATTTGGGGTTAAGTCATTGACATCCACCTCTTTACCATCAATCCAAGCTTATCTGCTCCTCATGGCAGGAGTGTATTGGGTGACAGAACTACCAGTTAACTTTTGCAATGAAGGAAAATAGCGCTGTGAAAAATAACACTTGTGGATGTTTTCAGTCAGAATTAGTGCCGTGGTTTGACAGGATAGAGTACGGATAATAGTAAAATTGATAAGAGTTCCAGGGCCACTTCACCTGAGCTGAAGTTAAGGAGAGCTCCTGCAGAGAGCAAAGATAACGTTCTTCTGTCTTCACTCTGTCTGACAGCACAGGCATCGAAGCTGCTTCAAATGCAGATTATTCCTCCTTTATCCTCAAAAGTTTAATCTCTCCTCCCTCTTCAAATGCAGGAGGAAATGCATTAGTTCTGAGGTAACTATTTCCCATTAACCGTGTTACTGGTATAAGCTCCCGGGCCGAGGAATCAATCACAAATCTAAAGATATCTGATGAGGCAGCACAGGAGTGCTTCACTTCAAATATCTTTTTTTTTTTTTTCCAAAGCCAAGCAAGAAATGCATCATTTCAGAATGTATTCACGCCATCAAAGAGATCTGCCGCTCTGCCCCGGGGAGGGTAATATCCCGGCACAAATCCAGAAATGTTATGAAGGATGGAGGAGAAAAGTTGGAGGCTTCACACACCTCTTCACAGCATGGAGATGGTTTTGGTCAGACTGCACGGAGCTTTAGCATCCAGCTGGAGTCTGCACCTCCCTGTGTGGACAGGTTTAAAGAAATTACACCTGCACTTTGTCACAGTAGTAAGATGGTGTAGATTCATGGTAATGAAGCTGAGAAACAACTCAAATCTTTTTTAAAACAGAGCTCAATACCGATGCACGCATTAGAAATTTAAGTACTGGAAAAGTGTTTGTCTTTCATTGTTCTTATTTTATTTAAACACTGATAAAAAAGGAAAACTCAGGGACGTGTTCTCAATCAGATAGCCTGAGATTGATTGCTTCTGTCTGCACCGAAGTACCAGGAGAAATGGTTGTATTTCCTAGAACAACTGCAGATTACTTCTCCTGTTTTAAAGGTATGTTGTTGAGTTTTTTAATCAGAGTAGCTGACTCATGGAAGTTTGGACTCTCACACTAATGCTGCTGTGCTGTCCCTGCAAAGACCATATAGAGAAATCATCTTTACTTACAGTCAAGCAGCAGAATAACCTTTTCTTGACCTGTATAGCTGTATTTGTTTTCTTTGTCTTCTTCTTCTTCTTCTTCTTCTTCTTCTGAGTGGTCTAGCCTCTAATGTCTAAAGGTCCAAGAAACGCCCCTGGACAGGCTGAGTGGACTTCACTCTCAGTTGCATCTACAGCTCTTGTGATTTGGAGTTGATCAAAACTACTAAAAGTCTCACCGAGTATGATCGCTAACATGACTCCGAACTGGAAGAAATTGAGGTTTGGCACAGAGCTGGTGACACCAAGAGCAGTAAATAGTTTAAAATGCCAGCTGTTGTCTTGGCGTCACTCTGGGAACCATGGTAATGTTTTTCTCGCCTTTATAGGCATCAGGATCATCATTGATGAAGTTGACATGATTGGGCGCTCTGTATCTTGCAGATGCATGATTGGTCAGACCTTTGGGGTCATCTCCTGTACATGGTCCTTCTTGCACCATTACCTCTTTTACATGACGTCGTAATGCATTTACGTTAGCATGGAGCATCCTGTGCAGAAGACTAAAGGATCGTGGTGTAGTTTGCACAAAAACAGTTCTTGCAGGTTCAAGTCATTGTATATAGAACGGGTGCTGTCTGCCTCCTTGCTGGGTGCAGCCACCGCGAGAACAGCACCCTCTGGTGACTGGCTGCAGTATAGGTCATAAATCCCGCCTCCTCCAGAAATCCTTATGGAGCTGTGGACAAACTTTAGAAATTAATTACACAGAATATATAAATTTTTATGTGATGTTATCATGTAGTTACTGTCAGACTGGTTTGTGCTCAAGTCCTCTTTTTTCTGTACAGCTCCATTTTTAAAAGTTATTAGGGGGTTCATGTTTTCTATGATTGACACTTGATACAGCCTATGGGCGTTTGAAGATTGCGTAGCTCACCCGGGGGATACGCTCTTTGAGCCATGTCAACACAGCGACTCAGGAAGTGGAGAAAATCCTAGAATTACCAAGAGCAATTCGGCTCCAAATTCGTATAATGACGGAGTTGTCAGTAGTTTATACACTCTATGGTTTAAGCTAAATCTGAATATTTGCAGGAGCTGAATTTAAATTACGCACTTAACCTCTCCGTCACACCAGTGTGAACCCTTGTTATCATGGCCATAGTACCGGCATAATAAAAAACCTTGAATACTGGTCAAATTTGCACCTACATGCTGGATAAGAAAGGCTCGTCCTGCAGAGTACCAAAATGTCTTGATCATGAAAAGATCTTAGCAGCTGGTATAAAATAATCTGATGATTCAGAGTTTTATGTTTCATTTAAATGCGTGCACTTTCTCTCGGTGTAAATCAGGTAATGAGGCGTAGAGAAGCATTTCAAGCTGCAGTGGTATTCTGACATGTGGAACTGCGGCCTGATGATAAATCGTCGGCGGACATTTTCACTGCTGAGTGCCGTCTGATTTATGTCACATTTAATGGAAATGCCACCATAAGATATACGCAGTGTCCTGATGTTTGCATTCATACATTACATCATCTAAAAGTCTTATATAAGCTTGTCAGGATACTGTAATTTTTGTGACTAGAGAGTGAAAAGAAGGAAAAGTCTGCTCACTCTGAGATTAACTTCACACCCATCATGATAGAAATTTGCAGCTCTTTTTAAAGGAACCAAAGGATGCCGAGGAAGACGGACTCGGCGCTGTTAGCTGAGGATAATTTGTCTTCTGAAAAGAATGGGCAGCTATTAGTGTGATCTATATCACACATGGCGTTGGCATTAAGCCACTGATGCCTCACTTTGACAAATTAGACTCCGTATGAGGTGATCTGTTGGCGTTGCTGCCTCTGTTCTATTGTTGTTTTCAGATCAGAATCATGGAGTTCATTTGTTTATCTAATTTCTCTCGTCATGCGGCACTATAGGGGGTTACAGCCTATCTCAGCCTAAAGTGAGTAGATAACAGATGTTATTAGAAATGTGATTACGGGCTGGAGACATGTCTATTGCATGGCTGCAGAAAGTGTCATGATGATGATCTGTTGATTAAGTTTTATTGAGTGTATTTTCTGTGTATTTTCCCCAGTGTTTCTTTTCCCTGCTGTTCCTGTGATCCTGTCTTGTGAGTTTTCAGTTTGTGTCTGACCCTGTTTCCCTCCTGTTCTCAGTGTTTTATTCTTTAGATCAGTTTTCAGTACTTCCTGTTTTATTTTGTAGTAGTCCAGTCTTGTTTTGCCTCCTCAGTAATTGTCTGCACCTGTGTCACAGTGTCTCACCTGCCTCTCGTTGCTCATTTCCCTGAGTGTATATATAGTCCCCGTCTTCCCCAGTTTCCTGGTTGGTTCATTGTATGTCGATGTGTGTGTTTGTCCTTGTTGATGGTGCATCCACAGTGGTTTTTGATTTTTTTGATTTTGCTTCTTGTGTTTTTTGTTGCTACAGCCTTACATTTGGTTAAAGTAGCAAAACTTGTAACCCTAATATCATCGAAACATACAAGTTAAAAAAAAAAAATCAACCCTCATACAGCGTTTACCAGGGTGACC